TGTCGTGAGGTCAATTGAACTAGCTGCGGTCGGCAAGCATTTACAGTGACCAGACCAGACAAACCCTTGGAATGGTTCTACAGACGTTCTGTGCAACCCGTACCGGCCAGAGGTATCACAACAAACAAACAACAACGAACAACGGTATACGCGGGCTGATCAGACAAGCCTGTCTGCCAAGACATTGCAAAAGTGCACGAAGCACACGGGTCGACGCATGGAGGGCACGCCTCAGTACGTCTAGGTGTGTATGTTAGTCAGGGGATGAAGTCATGTCAGCTAGAGGGGTTACTGTGGGAAGACCCTCGTAGAGAACGCTGACTGTGCGAAAGCAACTGAACAACGGATTTGCCGCTAGCAACTAGCACCCAGTTCAGCTCATCCTAATTGGCCGTGTAGTATACAACCAGCTCGGGATACATTTGGGCATTCTCAAACACAATCACCTCATGGAATTGCCCACGCGGCGTCGCAACAACCGAGTCATACCTGCAGAAATTCAATGGCAAACGCAACAGTCGGATCAGGAGGCGGTCAGGAGGCGGCCAAAGGCAACATGCAACACATGGTTCGTGTTGTCCAACGCACCGCTCGTTCTTGGACGCATTGGGCAGAAGCGGTGGCGCCAGCGCCCCAGAAGAAGGTGATGGATGGGCATGCGCATGACCCAGCAGTGCTCGCGTGATGACGAGCATTCGTTCGCCATTGGGTCCGGCACCGGCGTACTGATGACTCTGAAATCATGTGAGCACCTTGCGTCAGCACAACAGCACTTGGGTACACAGGCGAGAATGACAGCAAGCGCGGCAATACCTTGCCGGGATGGTCAGCCAAGTAAACACCAAAACCAAATCGGTGGCCGGCACTGCTGCCGGCAAAGCGATAGTCAAGACCCAGGCGCACAATCTTGTCACGCAACATTGTGTCAGGGGCGATGCCGTGGAGCAGCAGGCGCTCTTGGCAGGATGTATCGCGAAGAAGAGCTGGAGAGCCCGAGAGCGCATCTGACGTGGACGTTTGGAGTTGATCATAATGCTCCTGACTTATGATACGATGCAACATCTCGCGTCGCTTGGCGCTGTAGCGCTCCCACAGCACCGGGTTGTGCACGCGCTCTACCCGTTGCACTGCAAGATTCGCTGGTTCTCGCTCATCGGTGTTCAGCTGTGTCAATAGCTCAGCCACCTAGCCACCCAGTAGATTCAAATCAGACGACTTGCGGAAGAGCAACCCCCCCCCCAAAAAACAAAAAAAACAAAAAAAACAAAAACAAAAACCGCAAAAAACAGATCACAAGCAACGCACTTCTGAAATGAGCTCGGGCGCATCGCGCAAGACATCAATGGTTGGCCCGACTTGGGCAAAGGCAGGCTGCTGCGCAAAGTTCCGGGCGCTGAAAAGGTTTGGCCGTTGCTTTGGATCTGTTGCAAGCAAAGCTCGCGTTTCCTTGTACAAATCACTCGACGAATCGCACATCTGCATCAGAGACGCCAAAGTGAGTTTCCACATGAGAGGCGCGGGGCTCAGTTGTCGTTTCAGAGAATCACAATACGATTTACCTCAGCCGCCAAGTGCGGAAAACCGAAATTTGCGTTTCCTGCTACTGAATCCCATGTGCATTTGTCAACAAGCTGATCCGTGGGTAAACGAGCAGGCGGCACTGTTTGTGGATACATGTACGTGTTGTAGAGCACGCAGCCAAAGGAAAAGGCATCCTGTGCCGGGCGTGCACCCACGCGGCCCATTCCAAAAAGCACTTCGGGTGCCACATAGCCTGCCGTGCCCGACGATGCAGTGGCTGTGCATGGTAGCATTGTGGCTTCAGCGGCGGCCTTGGCAATGTCAAAATCGCCCAGCCGCACGACGGGCTGATCCTCCGAGCCGTCTAACATGACATTGCTCAGCTTGACATCCCGGTGCACCAAGCCCTTGCTATGCATAAACGCCAGGGCCGTGCGCAGCTGGTTCATCAATTCCGAAGCCACAGTCGAGGTGGCCATGTGGCGCGCCTTACCGAGCCACTGCTGCAGATCCCCTTGCGTACACCACGGCTGCACCAAGTAGGCGCTTGGGTGACCGTCTCGCACGCCCACGAGCGCGCCAAGGACCGGAATGATGTGTGGGTGCTCAAGCTGGCGCATGGCGCGGAGCTCGCGGAGAAACGTACGACACTGATCCTGCTTATGTTGCCGAGCAAATGCATACTCCTTGACGGCCAAATCTTGTTCAGGGCACTCTGGAAGCGCGGCACGAGCTTTATACACCTTGTGATTTTGGCTGTAATGAAGATCAAGCTGACCCAGGCTGGAGAGCGTCAAACCCTGGTCTACTTCGGTCATGGCCTCCAAGATAAGACTGGCCGGAAGGTCGGGCCCAAGCACAGTGCGGAGCCGCGCTCCCAGCGTGCTCTGTTCAGGGTGCAGAAAGACCAGCAGTGCTGGGAAGTGTCGGTGCAGCAGCTGGGCGAGCTCTGCGACGTGGTCCACGTGTGGTTGATCTGCTAATTGTTGTCGCAAGGTGTCGAGCCGTCCCTTCTTTTCTTGGAGCTTGTGTTCGAGGCTTGGGCGCACATCTTCAGGCAGTTGTTGTAATACCGCAATGATAGTTTGAATCTCTGTCTCCACCTTGGTTAGTTCCTCGTGGGCAGCAACCGATTCATCATCAACGTCTTGAGTCAAGCTGTTCACCTGACTCATGCACGAGGCCAACACGGAGCGCGTCGTGACCTGCCAGTCGATCATGTCTTGCAATTGCTGCATCAGAGCTTGCGACTCGTGGTGTACAAACGCCAAGTACCAATCCTGATGATCGTAGTCTGGAGGAGCAATTTGCTTGAGACCATTGAGCTCGAGCAGGCTCAGCTTCTCGTAAGCTTGACACAGCTCCTCCCAGGCCTCGGGCAATGCCTTGTCTGGCGGCGATGCACTTGCATCCACGCATTGCGCGCATTGCCGTAGCGTTTCCACGCGATGAATCGTGTCGATGGTTCCCGCTCTTGCCACGGCGCCCAGGGCATCGATCAAGGCCAGCACTAGACGTTTGAGGTTGCTGTTGGTGCTGGTGAGCATTTCTTGACGCTTGGGTTCTACGCCACTCAGAACGATGACTTTACTCAGGGCCGCTGCTAGGTCGGTGGGTGGTAAGTCAGGCGCGATTACTGGCATGGTGGGTGGAACTGGGCATGCTGCCAGCACGGTCTGAAGCTCAAGAAAAACAGGCTGCAGCTGAAACCCAGTTGTGACATCGTGCAGCTCTTGCAGCACTGTTTCTAGGTCGTCAGTGTTTGGGTCCAATTGCTTCAAGCGGTTGTTCAACGCTTCGGGCGCTTCCAGTGCCTGGTCGAGTGCGTTGAGAGCCTGGGTGGCAGTCGCCTGAAAGGCAGCCCAGTCCATGGCGGGAAACTCTGGTGGGGCTTTATCCATGGTCCTCTGGATATCAGCAACCGCCATTGCAAGATCAGGGTTTTGTTTGGTGAAACCACTGATAAATGCATCGAGGTGAGGGAGGGGATGGGTGGTGGTACGCTCCGGCAGAAGTGGTCTAAGCCAAGTGTCCACCGCCACCACAACAGAGGCCGTGGTCTAATGAAGGGTTGTGTGGTGTCATTGGTCGTAATTAGTTTGGATGAGGTCGTGGGGATTGGGGTAGGAAATGCATTGGGAATGTAGGAGGGGGGAGCAGGCTCACCTCGAGGGTGGGGGTGGTGGGAAGAGGCGGCAGCCAGGCAGAAGGCGGTGCAGGCGTGGGCGGAGCGAGTGGCGCGGGTGGTTGTGACAGGCGAGCCTCGTGAGCAGCAAATACAGGTTCCAGCTCGTCACCATATCCTTCTTGACGTCCGAGATCGAGAGGCGTTTGACTACTCTGAGAACATAGGATTGGAGCGTGTGAGGTGGGCGACGCGGGGACTGAGTTGGCGATGTGCATTTGATTTCTCACAACAAAGGCAAGGTAACAATGTTTCAGAGTACGAGGGCCGCCAGACGCGAGGACATTGTACAAATGGTGCGGGCAGGTAGCAGGGGTCCGAAAGGAGGCGCGTTTGGGGAAGAAAAAAAGAAAGAAAAAAAAAAGGGGGGGGGAGCGTAGCGTGTGTCGAGGGCAACACTGAAGGCACGGCCACCGAAAGCCGCTGGAGAGTATGAAGGAGGCAGAGGCGCGATGGCAAGGGATGGACGGATTGAAGTAACAACATTAGAAAAGGGCAAGGACGGCAGGCGCCGGAGACCAGCGGGGAACAGGGCGGAAGCAGGGAGCATCGACAAAGCGCGGACGCAAAAACGGGCGTAGGAACAGAAGAGAAGGAGCCAGAGGCGGACTGGACGCCCACGGGTGGGCAGGGTGTAGAGGAGAGGAGGGACGGTGCAGAGGCGATGGGCAGCGGGAGCAGGCTCAGCAGCCAGGGGGAAGAGGTAAAAGGGGGAAGAGGGAGGTACTGACGTTGTCCTTGCCATCACTATCGACACCGTGTTTCAACAGCATCTCCACCACCTTGGCATGACCCCAATCGCAAGCCCTGTGCAGTGGTGTATCGCCATCCTGTGGGATCATGCACCAGCATGGCGTACAGGTACAGCATCATCAGCATCATCATCATCATCATCATTTGGTACAGATGTACCATTATAGAGGGGTAAAGGGAAGAAGAGGGAGGTGCTGTACTGACGTCGGTCCTGGCTTTAGCATCAACACCGTGTTTCAACAGCATCTCCGCCACCTTGACATGACCGCTATTGCAGGCCATGTGCAGTGGTGTCAAGCCATTCTGTGGGATGATGCATCAGCATGGCGTACAGGTACACCACATGAGCATCATCATCATGTGGTACAGGTGCACCATCATAGGAGGGGGTAAAGGGGGGAGGAGGGAGGTACTGTACTGACGTTGTTCTTGGCTTCAGTATCAACACCGTGCTTCAACAGCATCTCCGCCACCTTGACATGACCGTTCGCGCAGGCCAAGTGCAGTGGTGTATAGCCATACTGTGGGATGATGCGTCAACATGACGTACAGGAACAGCATCACCATCATCATCATCGTGGTACAGGTGGGGGGTAAAGGGAGGAAGAGGGAGGTACTGTACTGACGTTGTTCTTGGCTTTAACATCAGCACCGTGCTTCAACAACATCTCCACCACCTTGTCATGACCGTTAATACAGGTCCTGTGCAACGGCGTATTGCCATACTAGAATATGTCCATGTTATACCACAACCTCACTCCAGTTAGTAACACATTCAAAATGTAACCAAACATCATATCAAACAGCATGCGTACCTTATCTTTGTGCTGGGCAGCATCTCGAATATCTCGAATACGTTGTTGGTCCCAACTGGTCAACAGCTGCAGCGCCTTTTGTGGATCTGATGATGTACATGCATAGTACAGCTGCTCTCCATCATCACTCATGGTAACGGTATCTCTTTATTCAAACCGCGCCAGCATCAATCTCATGAGCCCCCCTCCAAGTACAACTCGTCTGACAACCCAGAATTCGGACTGGGATTCGACGTGCGCGCGCCGCTTCCAAAACGGCAGCCGGTCAGCGGGTCTTGCTTTTCTCTAGCTGGTACAACAAACGATTCACCTTTGGCCAACAGTTCTCGATCACAGTTGCGAGGACAGGTGTGCTTGGTTGCCCAAGCGCACGCTGTCGACTGCGAGGCGAGATCAGTGGGCTCTCACACCACGGAAAAAAAAACTGGGGCTGTGCTTTCGACCAAAACGTTCTGGCGTCGCCACAAGGCCCCGATCAGGAGAGCGTACTAAGTACAAGCGATCAGTCACCACGCACACACAAAGCAAGACACGTCAAGCCAGCCCGCCGATGCCGATATCGATACCGAGACCGATGCCAAAGAGGGCAAGAAGAAGAAGAAGAAGATGGCTTTTGCAAAGAGGGAACGAGAAAAATGCGAAGAACACATGTTTTTCTCCGAAAAAAGTCAAAATAAAAGTCATGCAAGCAAATTCCAAAGCGTACGGATAACGTGTACGGCCCCCCTTTGCCAGCCATGACAGCTCGCCTGTTACAAGCACCGTCCAAAGCACCGCAAAACTGGGGCTTGTACGTACACGTATGCCAGCCACGGCTTGACAAGCCCGTTTGGCTAACTGCTGACGGGTCACATCAATCTTATCCTCTTCGAGCGACCACTCCTGACAGCAGCTTTAAGCTATCACGCTCATCACGCTCGCCGGCCAGTTGGGCATGGCAGAGAAGGTGGTAGGACGAGTGCGAGGCGCGCTCGCAATGATAGTGCTTCTTGTGCTTCATCTTGTCTTTTTTGTGCTCGCTTGCTCCGTTTCTCCTGCGGCTCGCGGCCCTCGTCACCAGCTCGCGCAGCGCCGCAACCGCCAATATTGAGACACCATTGCCATCAGTCGATGTCATGGCGAATGAAGACGGGGCGGTTGGACTGCTCTGCTTCAGACCTTTGGCAAAGCCCACCTTAAGCATCGACTTTATTCTCTGATCGCGTAGCGATCGACAAGCCCAGCACAAGCGTCACGCATTTCAATTCGTAGGTGCAGCTTGAGCGGCGAATGAAAGAGTGGCCAGGCCGCTACACAGCGTTTGTAGATCTTGGATATTGAACAAGTGAGGATCCGCGCACTAGCCGATGCTATAAAGAACAGCAGCAGCGCACCGCCGGCGTCTGACCTGCTCCGCACGAATCAAGCCTTGAACTGGCACCACGTTGAAATCCGATGAGAACAAGCCAATTCGTACAATGATATGGGAATCAGGCTCGCACCAATGGAATTTGCAGTTTGGTAGGAGCAAAGGGTACGAGTTGCGCCCAATAGTTCTTCAATCGGCTGTAATGTGAAACAGGTTCATCAGTGAGCAAGCTTGCCTCTGCAATCAGAACCGAAAAAAAAAAAAAAAAAGGGCCCACCTCCAGCTGGATGGGATCCTCGTGAATGAGCAGATCCAAGGGCCGTGCACCCGCCTGCCACAGCAGTCCATCACGTATCAATCGCAGGCGCAGCAGAACAGTGGGAAAGTACGGTATCGCGGTGAAAAGCTTACACAGTCTCTCATCTGGGTCGGCATCACGTATCAATCGCAGGCGCAGCAGAACAGTGGGAAAGTACGGTATCGCGGTGAAAAGCTTACACAGTCTCTCATCTGGGTCGGCATCGTGCCGCAAGAGTGTTTGGATGCCCTCTCGGCTGGCACAGAAGGCTTCGCAGGTTAGATGGAGTGGCGTTTGGCCGCGCTAATTACAACCAATAATAGGTGTCCCCCGGAGGTGCCAATCGAATTTTGAATTTTGAATTTGAATTTTGAATTTGGAGAAGTGCAAAATATGCTGGAGCGAAGTGCTTCCCGGAAACTCGACAAATTTTAATTTTGAATTTTGATTTTTCATGCCCACATGGCGAGCACGGACGCGCGGGCGTCGCCCGCTCTGGTTGCAGAGGCCGTGGCAGCTCCTCGTGATCCTGATGTAGGTTCAACAGTCCCTTTTCTCATGTCATTCAGGGCCATGTCATCGAGGTGGGCCTTTCAATTCATTATCCAAACTGCATTGCCGCAGTGGCGCGATGACAGTCTGTCGCCATTATCGCCCACCAATGTAGTGGGGCAAGAGACCGGGCACACCGTGGATCCCGTGCATACAGATGCCCCGACGCGTGAGCTTGAAGTACGCTGCGCGATGTTTCGTGGCGGTTTGTGTATGTTCCACGTGTAAATGTTTTGCAGAGCCCTCATGTCAGAGTTGTGCGACGTGGCGTAGGTGAATGGGTTCCCATTTCCGGATGTTGTCGCGCTTGGGTCAGACGATACTGATCTTAACTCAGCCTTTGTGAATGCCGTCCAGCTGCTGAGTACATTAGCTGCACATCTTCGCCTTGCAGCCTGGTGCAAAATCGACAATGCCGATGGACAGCTCAGGGTCAAGAACATACCATATGGCCCGGGCAACTCTCGCCTCCGTGGTTTTGATCGGGATCACGCTCGTTTTCTCAAGAGCTTTGTCTCCCAGTGCGTCAGAAGTCCATGCACGTTCCGTCATTTGTACTGGTCTGGCATGTAATCAGCTTGTCTCTTTTTAGGGCTGGTGTTGAACGATTGTTGTTCGAATATACCAACGGCTTGTACATCCCAGACGGCCGTGGTGCTTCGCAGGGCGGAGAGGTTCGCGGCCTGTGCTTGTATACACCAACAAGGAACTACGATGATCCTGAGGGCATGCACGATGCCTGTCGACACCTTCAAATCCGTGCATTTCTGGCACGCCTGGCAGCAAGGTCAGGAGTGCTGGGTGCTTCCTTGGTTGCGGGTTGGCATCAAAGGTGCTTCTTGCCATCATCATGGGTCAGTAAGGCATTAGATCACACCATGTTTGCGGTTACAGACTGCAGCCGTTTCTCCCAAGGTTGCGAGAGGCGTCAAAGGCGCACTCACAGTCATGGATCAAGAAGTATGGACCAGTGCCGCAATCAGCAATTGGCGCGCATGCGTCGGATGAAGTCCGCGCTGCTGAGCTCCTATACTTTGCTGAGGCGATGATCATCGCCACACTCAGGGAGGTGAAGCATCGCAGGTTAGTTGAGGCATGCCTCACAAGGCGGGTCCCCACCAATGATGCAAAGAATAGGGCTTCTGCTGCTCTGCTGCGTCTTCTTCAACCCTTGTTGAATTGGTTTGAAGAGGAAATGCCCACCACGACTGGCGACGCCGATGGTACCTCAGGCCGAAAACCATGTGGTATTTGGGTTCATGTATGTGGTGCCCTGCTGCTGGTTCGCGGGCTTGCTTGCACGTCATGTGTATGCCCCTGATCTTCTTTGCATTGTTTCTCGTTTGTATGTATAGCTTCAACACGATCTCATGTCTTGGGACGCTATGGTAAGAATGAGGCGCGTGGCCCACTTCAATGTGTCGGACGGCGAGTCTAAGAAGCTCAAGGCCTCCAGGAACCAGAACTTGTTGAATGTGACCGAGCCCAGGGTAGAAAGTGCCCTCAAGTTCTTTGACGAGACTGCGTTGTCTGACGATGAGCTGGAGCTTTTGACTGCGGACGCATGCGGGGGCGAGGCCAACGCATCAACAAATGTCATACGTGTGACGGCACTGGGCCACGAGTACGAGGACGAGGAGGACGGGCAAGATGTCGATGTACAAAGTGAAGCAGATACCAGGGCGAGTTCAGTCGCCATGTCGGATATCACAACTCCCTCTACGGTCCGACAGAGTCGGGGCTCGGGTCGCAGTAAGCGGCCACGCATTTCCCCTGGTGAGCTTGGAATCATCTTAGCTTGTGATCGAAACCTTGGTTTCACTTTTGATTCATGGAAAACAGGTTATTCTCATCTCGTGGTCGGCCCCGCTGTGGTTGTTGGCAATTGTGCTACGTGCATCTTCGCTCGCACTAGGATCCTCTTGTGAGGCCGCATCGAGCGATCACCCAACAGATGCTGTCCTCCAACAGCTTCTACGACAGCAACATGACCATGTTACTTTGTCAGAGGAGAGTAGGGACAGGCGACAAGCAGAACAGCAGCTATTTCAAATGCGCATGCAGCAGGAGCAACTCACTTTTCAGGCTGAACAACAACGAAAACAGCTTGAATTCCAGGTTGAACAGCAGGAGCGAAAACTCAGGTTCCAAGCAGAACATGAGCTTGCAATGGCCCGCTTGAAGCACGAGCAAACAATGCAACTGTCGCAATTGCAAATGAACTACCAGAGATGGCGCGTTGAACGAGGTGAAGAGGCCCTGCACCAAGACGCAGCGCCCTCGTGACTATGAGTGCCTTCTCGTATTTATGTCTATTTAATTTTTTGCATGTCCCTTGTGAAAACTTCACAAACTGTACGGTGCCGAGTCAATTGATTCACAGATTGCTCTCGGTGTCGCTGCCCACACATGCCGTGTGGCCATGCCCCAGTAAAAAACTCATCAAGCGTTGGGGCAGATGTCACTCCGAAGGAACGTGCGGTTTGGTTGGGGAGGCCGATTTGCCAACGCTTGATAAGCACGGCGTTGTGCATCAAATGGCAAAACACAACACGGTGGTCGATGCGCGACTGTCGCACGGCGATAGATTTAACCCTCAAACGCTTGAAAAAATATTTGATGCCTGTGATGGCATCCAGCACTGCAGTGAATGAACACCGACCCACAGTTTTGCGATGTTTCCAGTATCCTACCGTAGCCGTTGGCCCCAATGCAGTGCTCAACAGAGACTCGAGCTCGCGTGGCCTGTCGACAGTATGGCTGCCAAAAGGTATTCACGTGAAAGCAAGAAGTGGGATCACAGTCAAATTGTATGCAGACAACAGCAACACGGTCGTACCATGAGAGCTTCTCCAAGTGCAGCGGAAGAAGAAACACTGACGATGCCACGGTCGGGGTTGTGTGGGTAGCCACAGTCGCCGAGAATGACATGGTGCTCGGGCCAATGGTTCCGCACCAGATCCGTAAGCCGGCTTGCCGTGAACATTGCTCTACAGAATAGACGACAGAGTCTCACGTCAGCGCATGATCCCAGTCACACAGCGCTCAGCAAAGACGTACTTATCATTTGAACGCCCGGCGCAAGGACCCCAGGCACTAAGGATGAGGCCAGATGCATCTGTCAAAATCTGCGTGGAAACTGCATGAAGCTAGAAAGGCAAAAGGGACCGCGTGAGGAGGCTGCATAGGACTTAAACTCGATACATATGCCTCGCACCTTGTGATGTCCATCGTAACATACGGCTTGATTACGGCGAGGCCCTCCGGGGCGATAGACAGGGTAATGAGTACCATCCACGAAGCAAGCGATACGGAGGAACTCGGTGGAAGATCCCCTCATATCCTGCGGTAGGTAATGGCCAATTCCGAGACGACCACATTGGCCCGCTCGAGCCTCAATACGGGACGCACTCCAGGCGATGTATGCAGGGTCAGCAAGCCACGGATGGCGCCGCGCAAGCTCCTGAAAGCTCTCAAATACGGCCGCCTCCACGGCGGTAATGTAGGCACTAGCATCTTTTTCGCTCATATCAAGTTGTAGTAGCCTTGCAAGCGCATCACATGTCAATTCTGCACTGCTATTATATGCCAGAGCGCACAAGGTGGCTTGCCACAAAGGAATGATGCGTTTTTTCGATTGTACAAGTCGTCTTCTATACCTAATCGCATGAAAGAAAGCATAGGGACGCGCAGATTTGAATGCGACAGTAGTGGTACAACGGGAATTCTTTGAGAGGAACAGTGTTGGAATGCGACTGCGATCACACCATACAGTGAACGCACGTTTCAGTGAGGCCATTGCCTGAGGCGCGGTTCATGGCATCGACGACGGCGCGCACGTCCTCCAGGGAAGAAAACGAGTATAGCTTTTAGAAGTCCACTGTGTTGAGAGGCGCCGGAATGGGAACGGCACGTAAGGCCACTGCTACGTCGTATGGACGCACACGCTGAAACTGTTGCTGACTGAGGTATTCAGCGGCACGCTGACTCAGGATATGGGCCATGAGCATTTTAAGGGACTGACCCTCATGGCTCACGCGTAAAAGAAGGTAACATTGCAGGAAGCAATGCAAAGCATTCATATCAGCAAGCTGCTCAAACATACGACGCTCAACGACTGTAAAGCGTCGTTTGTTTTGGAGCTCCACCGCGCGAATCCAGTCTCGGGCTGCAAGTCGACGACGGCGAACAATCATGCTTTGAGGTATGATGCATCGGCCCGGCGCGCCAGCAGCTTGGAGTGCCCCCGGCATTATGAAAACACTCGGGAGCTAACACCGACAGAGACACCTAAACGCTCGACTCTGTTCGAGATACAATCAATATTTTATGGATGACAGAAACTGCGACGCAGTGGCAGAAGGACAGCAACTCGCGGCTGGCCAGAAACGCATGCCGAACCACACATTGAGGCAGAACTGCAAAATATGAAAAACAAAACATCAGAATACGTTTCTGCGGACAAAACATAATATGTCGCGTTCTGGGGGACATCTAATATTCGGAAACATGAGGCAGGTTTTTGTTTTTATTTGGGAGGGGGCGAGGGTGGGTGGGTGGGTGAGCGTCGTGCCGGGGTAACGCTCAAGGAACTGCCACCGAAAGCCGCTCGAGCGTGCGAGGGAGGCAGAGGCGCGATGGCAAGGGATGGACGGATTGAAGTCACAACATTAGAAAATAGGAGAGCGAGAGGAGAGCAGGGCGGAGAACAGGGAGCACCGACAAAGCGCAGACGCTAAACAGGGGAAGAATATGGATAGCGGGAAAGAAAAAACGGAGCCAGAGGTAGAACGGAGGAGCACGGGTGGGCAGGGTGTAGAGGAGCGAGGGACGGGGCAAAGGCGACGAGCAGCGGGAGTAGGAGCAGCAAACAACTACAAAGCAGGGTGACACCTACACTGTGGCCGCCACTCTCGTCCAGGGTCAACTTCGACGGGACGGTATGAACGTGTCGAGTCGGTCCGATTGAAACGTCGGGCAAAGGGAAGCAGAGATTGAATGTTCTTAGTATTCGAGTGCTTTGTCGTACTGGCCCTGGTTCATGTAGACATTAGCCATGCCCGTGAACGTTTTGGCCGTGTTTGGGTGCGCCTCGCCCACCGTCGCCAGTTGGATCTTCAACAGCTTGCCGTGGTACTCGAGCGCCTTGTCGGACTGACCATGGCGGTCGTAGACATGGGCCATGTTCTTGTAGGTGGTAGCAGTGGACAGGTGCGCCTCGCCCACCGTCGCCAATCGGATCTTCAATGCCTTGCCGTAGTACTCGAGCGCCTGCTCGTACCGGCCCTGCTTGTAGTAGACATTGGCCATGTTGTTGTAGGTACTGGCGGTGTGGGGGTGCGCCTCGCCCACCGTCGCCAATTGGATTTGCAACGCCTTGTTGAAGCACTCGAGCGTTTGCTTGTGCTAGCCATGGTAGTTGTTCACATGGGCCATGCCATTGTACGTGGTGGCCGTGTCGGGGTGCGCCTCGCCCACCGTCGACAATCGGATCTTCAATGCCTTGCCGTAGTACTCGAGCGCCTGTTCGTACTGGCCCTGGCTGCTGTAGACAAGGGCCATGTTGTTGTAGGTGGTGGCCGTGTCGGGGTGCGAATCGCCCACCGTCGCCAACGTGATACTCGACGCCTTGCTATAGTACTCAAGCGCCTTGTCGTACCGGCCCTGGTTCCTGTAGACAGCGGCCATGTTGTTGTAGGTGATGGCCGTGTCCGGGTGCGCCTCGCCCACCGTCGCCAAAAATATCTTCAACGCCTTGCCGTTGTACTCGAGCGCTTGCTCATACTCGCCAAAGGCCATCAATACCCGGCCAATCTGCATGCAAAAACTTGCCGTCCTCCGCCTCTCGGGCTCTGGCCGCCACAAGCGCCTGCTCCAGACACCACGCTCGCAGCTGCGCCTTGATCCGGGAGTTCAGCTCCGTAAAGCCCACCGTCGCCTCTACCGTCTTGAAGATCATGGCCCGGTCGCTGGCCTTGAACGCCTCAGCCTTTTGCGCCTGCACCCGCACAAGCATGTCCATCACTTCGTCACCGTCCTGTGCCAAAGCGTCCACAAACCCGTTGACCTCGGCCTCGGGCAGCCGAATGTCCAGCTGCACCTGCCCGTTCAAGGCGTTCATCATTTCAAAGAGACACCAGGCCCGCGTCATGGGCACGGGGTCGCGCCAGGGGCTCATGACCAGCAACACCCGGCCGATCTCCTTGATGTTCTCCTGAAACGTGTTGGACCACCTGCCACATTCAAGGCCGTCAGTGACACAGGAAGCCCGCAACCCGACAACAGCAAGAAACGCACCACTCGTAGGGAAGTTCGGCGGCAGCGTGCTGGTTGTTGGGGACGAGGTCGAGCCAGTAGTAGGCGCCCGGCGCCTCCGTGCGCTCGTGGTACAGCACCGTGGCGAGGGTCGTGGCAAAGCTATACTTCCATGCGTGGGAGACAAAGACGGTGGCCGGCGCGAGGTGGAGCCGCTGTGCGGGGTCCTCGAGGAGCAGGTCAACCCAGGAGCAGGCGCGGGCGTTGGTGAGCGGCATGACGTAGCGGGTGCAGATTTCCGAGGTGGTGAGCTTGTGAAACTCGTCACCAAACTGCTGGCGGAGTTGGGTCTCGAGTCCTTGGAGAAAGGCAGCGCTCACCCCAAGCAGGGCACGCTTCGAGCCTGGAGTTGGATGGGATGTGTGTTGACGATCAGCTGGTGGGGGATGGGGGCGGGGCGGGAGGATGGAGGGAGAGAGAGAGGGAACAGACGAGTGTCTGACCTGGCGGAAGGTCGACCTTAGTGTTGATGTCAGGGGATGGCTCTCGGAGATCGCCGCCGGAGCCAACCTTTGGCGGATCGCCTCTCTCTCGGCTCTGGCCACAGCCCATGATCGCGTGGCGGAAGTAACACACAAATGTGGGCGTGTCGTCGCCGTGGAAAAATGTGACCGTTTTGTCTTACATCCTGATGTTCTTTGAATGCTGTTTTAAATTAAAATTTGGGTCACAAACCGAGGTTGGATTTTGCGGATATAAATGCGCGACCGCTGCCCTCAAGGACTCATAGACCTTTGGACGCCAGCAGTCCTACAACATGATGCACTCTTCGAATAGCTGAATGCGGCTTTGGCTTGCTCAAGGCAAGTTACCCATGCCAGTCGGGGCCACGGCCAATAGCCAGCCGTCCGCGGCCTTGTAAAGCATCACAGCCTGCGCCAATCGATACTGACTCCATGCTGACTACGCCCTGACTCCATGCTGACTACGCCCTGACTCCATGCTGACTACGCCCTGACTCCATGCTGACTCGGGTTCTCGCCTGACCTCTATCCATGTCTGATGCTGGCTCTACCCTGCTGGCGCTCTGCTCTACTCAGTGACTCATGAACCCTTCTTATCGCTCGCGCCAGACCAGGATCGAGGCTGCGTTATCGAAACGACTACATTTTAGTTAATGTCGAAGAATATCAAGCAGATGAAGAAGTGATAATCTCGCATACGGAAACCTCTGCTGAAAATTTTAAAGAAAAAGAGGTTAGAATCGTCACAAGGAAAAAAAAAGATAAGGAAGGCCAACAGCACCATGTATTCCCATCTGGTCACCCACGATAGTACTAGCATGGCCCAACATGGCTTAACTGCGGCGATCGGACGAGAGCCGGTGTATTCCATGTGGTATGACCGTTGGCGAAAGATACCCAGGTAAAAGTGTATATAAAGCTTTACTCTCTTGTTTGAACTGAACACCTTGAAGCGAGCGTTCTTTTAGACGTGTGAAAAAAAAAAATCAATTTTCATCATCACAACAAAATGGCAGTCGACGATACTGTTGGGGCGTGCTTGTATCGCGCCTGTCAAAAGCGCGACCCGAGCGAGGCACTGGCACTGTTGAATAGCTGGTCGCAAGAGGAGATTGCCGTGGCTCTGCCTTATCACGATCGAGTTAGTGAGACCTTGGCACGAGGAGCCAACGAAAGGCCTAGATCCTCACGTTTTTGCCACTGTGCTAGTCTCGGGATACATCGTTTCACCAGGCCGCCGGGAACGGGCTCCGCGACGTTGTCGCCTTTCTGTATGAGCAAGACCCAAAGGGGATCCATCTACAGAATCGGGTTTGATCTTGTCCCCGTGTCTCAAAAACCTTGCCTCCAGGCGTAACTGTGCTCTCTGATCTTGGCTTAACGCTGTGCTGTCCCTGACTGCCCCGCCCCCTTTTTTTTTTTTTTTTTTTTTTTTTTTTGCAGCATGGCTGGACACCGCTTCATCTGGCATGCCGAAGCGGCCACACCAAAGTCGCAGGTCTGCTCCTTGAGCTCAATGTCAATGTCAACTGTTATAGCCAGGTAATTTTGCTTTGGCGCGCCGTGATTCGCACCGACGCTGCGCCAGGATGGGTTTGCTGATCACGCTCATGCTTTTTTTTTTTGTGCAACCCATGTTATTCTTATCAAGTTTGGTGAGACGCCGCTGCATATGGCAAGTCAGGGGGGCCATTGCAGCGTCATTGATCTGCTACTTCAACGCAAAGCTGACGTAGAGGCCACAGACAGAGTGCGTGCCGCGGGCCACCTCGCAGCACGGGCAACCCTGACGCCTCGGAAAAATTTGACTGCATGCCTGTGCCTCGCAATAGCACGATGCAACACCCCTGCACCTGGCCTGTCGCAACGGCCACACTGAAGCTGCACGTCTGCTCTTGAAGATGCGCGCAGACGTGGCGGCACAGACTTGGGTGCGCCCTCGACATGGTGGTTGTTCCTCCTGGCCTGTGCGTGTCAAAGTCATTGCCCTCATGTCTATCTCCCACAGCAAGGTGAAACGCCACTGCACTGGGCTTGCCAGCATGCAAGGAATGCTGAAACCATCGAACTGTTGCTGCGCAACCACGCGAATGTGGACCAAGAGAACAAGGTACAAGGGCTATCCTGCGGATTTTCTATTTTTCAATGCCCCGCTGACCAGTCTAACCTTTTCATAGGAGCAGATCACACCCATTCACCTGGCTCTTGAAGCCTCGCATCACATACAAGAGCAGGTATCTTGAGCTCGGCCCCACAGCTTGGTCAAATATCCTGGATTCACATGGCAATGACCCTTGTGGCTTCGGTCGGGTAGGTTTTGGAGCTCTTGCTGGCTCACAGTAGCAAGCCGTGGACGTACATCGTATCCTCAGATGGAGACCGTACGTGGCATTGCTCTCGACTTGCTGCTCACTCACTTACATGACTGTCGTTACTGTCTTACGCGCCTGCCCTGACGTGTTGATGTCGTTGTTTCTCTGTTCTTTGTACTGCTGCTGTCTCGACCTTGTAGAACAAGCCTTAATGACGCGCCTCTTGCGAAAGCAATGGCTCCACAGCGTGCCTGTCCTGCTCAGTGTTGGCTGGCATCATGAGCCACACTCTTTTGCACAAGACGTCCTCCTCGCTCTTCGGACATACACTAATAATTATTTCTTTTGAGTCAAACATCTTCTAGATGGAAAGATAAAAAATTATTTACGTCCAGTATGGCAGGGTGATACAAAAGCTACTTCGGATGTTAATAATTAATGTTTTTCATGTGTCGTCATTGACGCAAACGACGGTCTGAGAGCACCGTATGCAGCAGCATGCATGTTGCCTGCACCCGGTGGTCTCCACGTGCATGCCAATCTTGGCCCGTGCCAGAAGGCATATTGTGCACCACGTTCATTTCAACCTCGGAGGGGCGGCTGGGCACGTGCATGCAAAGTCTTTCCCTTCTTTGACGACCATTTGGCATGAGCAGTCCGAAAGCTCCACGCCCACGGCCAGAAGGGACTCCCACACAGCTCCGCCGCACGGCTGCGCAGAACTGACCTATTCGCTCTGTGCATCGCCCAAAGAAAACCCATAAGGGGCGCGAAATCAGACGCACATGGCTTTAGCAATTGGCCGTATCAGCTTGGCTCGGCGTGTTGGCCGAGGGAAGGGACAGCGCGTGAGTGACCAACCATTCTGCATCCGTAGCAAACAGCTCCGACACTGTTCAGGCAGACAGACCGCTTACAGTCAACACGCAGTTGTAGCCTTTCTCGCTCCGTGGGGAAACTCCGGCTCCGGCTCCGAGATTTTTTTTGACTCCGAACCCTGGAGCAGGGCGCTTTTGAGCTGGCTGAGCTCACTGGTTCGCCGGCCGCGTGCGGGATTGAGTGGCATTTTCAACTTCCCGTGCATCGTGCCCATCGTCTGACAGACTCGTGCACAGATTCTCGGACTGCCATCATGCTGAAGCTTGGACAAGTCGTCATTGCACTCTGCGCCGCGGCGCTGCTTGTGCAGGCCAATGAGGATGATCTGCAATACTGCGATTGCATCGTGGACGTGAACTGTGACGACTCGGCCGCCATTACCGAGGTAAATGTGCTTTGCTTGAGAACTGATTTCCGTCGCTCGAATCCTGGCGGTACATCTCGACCTGAATGCCCCACTTTGTGAGCACAGGCCATGCAGACGTTGGAGGCCAACGACTGTGCCTCAAATTGCGGTACAGAAATCTGCAGCAAGGCTTTTTTCTACGCGCAGGTATCTCAAACCCGCGATGCATGCCATGGACATGCCATCTTTTTGAAAGGCTGCCCGAGGTGAAGCTGATGCATCTTTGACATCTTAGGCGCACCATGACCACTGCCTGACATCCAAGTTGCCGGCTGGCATTGAAGAGCTTCACGACTTTGAGGGCATTTGCACCGAGTGCTACATTGAGCGTGAGCACGATGATAGTCTGCCCACCTGCGCCAGCTACGAATGCACCTCTGAGGCGGCTGCAACCTCTGCCTTCAATTATCTGGCTGCGAATTGCTCCTCCGACTGCTCGCCTACTGAATGCCAAACATCCTTCCAGACCCTACGCGCCGCTCACGACGGTTGCGACCATGATGACGTGCCCGAAGCCGCGGAGCAAGGTCTCCACGATTTCGAGGATCTGTGTGCCGCTTATGACTGCAATGTCGAACATGATCATGACCATGATCACGACCATGACCATGACCACGACCATGATGACCACACGTGCGCTGCTTCGCGTTCCGGTACCTTGGCCTGGATCCCCCTTGGCGTTGCGGCCGTCGTTGGAGTGGCTTTCATGTAAAAAGTTTTGTGTTAGCCGCTGAATCTGGTCATCCTACTCTTGGTTGGGCTGCCATCAGTCTCAATACACAAGGCCGTGAAATACTTTGATCAATTGACATCTAGATGTAAAACATCGAAATCACTGCGCCATGTTCAACGCTAGAACGATCGCAGTCAAGAAGAAAGCAAAGTGCGCGCAAAAAGACAAGGGGCAGCACCACTAGAACAGATCTCCAGACAATCGCACAAGGCATTGTGCATGACCAATCGTTAAAGCAGCAGGAAGAGCAAAAAAAAGACAAGTTGCAAGTAAACTCAAGGCTGGAAATTAAAAGACACAAACAACTACAAGTCGCTGCACGAACAAGCATCAGGCGAAACACAGTCTTTCAAACCCGAGATGAAGCAATCGCCTACAATCGTGACGTTTCGAAGAGCGTTCACATTGGCCAGCTCGTCGTTTCCAAACACGTACAGGGTATTGACAGAGGTCAAAGACGCCAAAGCGTCCACCTCCGTGAGCAGCGGATTGTTGCTAATGAGGAGAAAGTCGACGCTTCCCAAACTGGTCATAAAGTCCAGCGTTTCAAGAACGGGATTGGACTGAATGGCCAACTGTCCCCCCACGTGCGTCAATGACGAGAGACCACTCAGACTCGTCAGCAAAGCATTGCCACGAATCGTCAGATCCAGTCCAATAGATGAAAGCGTGTCCAAACCGCTGAGGTTGCTCAGAGCGGCGTTACCGCGGATCGCAACATCAAACTCAACAGCAGCCAACGCTTCAAGACCCGCCAATGTTTCGAGGGCTGTGCTCCCGCGGATTTCAAGCGCTTCAACATGTGAGATGGCGGTCATGGATGCCAGAGTGGTCGCGTCAACATCGCAGGTGAAACTATCATAATTCGAAAACGCCACCATGCCATTGATGCGCAGACGATCCTCAAGCAAAGCGGCCGCGTCAGCCAACTGCGCACTTGATTGACACAGAACGTCCCCTTCGTATGCTGGGTTCCGAGTTGTAGTCGAAGTGGTGGATGTCGAAGTTGTCGTCGTCACCGTGGTCGTTGAGGTGGTAGAAGTTGTCGTCGTGCTAGTCGTGAAGGCAGCAAGGCCGATACTCCCACAGGTGCAGCCGACACAGAGGGGATTGTTGGCAATCATACAAGTGCCCGTAATAACCACGCCGTTCAGATCGGCAATGGACTCGAGGTTGTTGTTGCCAGAAATCTTCAAATCGCCATCAATCACAAGTTGACTGGCATCCAGCCCGCTCAAATTACGCAAACCACCCATGTTATTCAGCGTAAAAGATTGCACGGCCCGCAAACTAGAAAGTGGCTCAAGGCTGTTGATATTGGGGTTGCTATCCAAGGTCAAATACGTGCCAATTTCACGCAAACTCTGGAAGGACGAGAAGACGTCATCGGTCATATCGCAGCCCGAAATGATTCGAACATATGTCTCAACCACTTGCACATCCTCGACCAGATACTGGACTGCAGGATGAGATGCGGGATCATTGCAGAAAACTGGACCGCTGCGAGTGAGCAACGAAGTGGAGGTGGTGGAGGTTGAAGAAGTACTCGAAGTCGAGCTCGTGGATGAAGTGCTCGAAGTCGACGACGTGGTGGACGTGGAGCTCGTCGAGCTCGTTGACGATGTACTAGAGGTGGAGCTCGTGGAACTCGTAGACGAGGTACTGGACGTGGTGGACGTAGAACTGGTCGAGCTCGTGCTGCTGGTGGAGCTAGTAGAGCTGGTCGACGAGGTACTCGAGCTGCTCGAGGTGCTCGAGGTTGAAGAAGTGCTCGAAGTCGAGCTCGTGGATGAAGTGCTCGAAGTCGAAGACGTGGTGGACGTGGAGCTCGTCGAGCTCGTTGACGATGTACTAGAGGTGGAGCTCGTGGAACTCGTGGACGAGGTACTGGACGTGGTGGACGTAGAACTGGTCGAGCTCGTGCTGCTGGTGGAGCTGGTAGAGCTGGTCGACGAGGTACTCGAGCTGCTCGAGGTGCTCGAGGTTGAAGAAGTGCTCGAAGTCGAGCTCGTGGAAGACGTGCTCGAAGTCGAGCTCGTGGTGGACGTGGAGCTTGTCGAGCTCGTTGACGATGTACTAGAGGTGGAGCTCGTGGAACTCGTAGACGAGGTACTGGACGTGGTGGACGTAGAACTGGTCGAGCTCGTGCTGCTGGTGGAGCTGGTAGAGCTGGTCGACGAGGTACTCGAGCTGCTCGAGGTGCTCGAGGTTGAAGAAGTGCTCGAAGTCGAGCTCGTGGATGAAGTGCTCGAAGTCGACTCGTGGTGGACGTGGAGCTCGTCGAGCTCGTTGACGATGTACTAGAGGTGGAGCTCGTGGAACTCGTAGACGAGGTACTGGACGTGGTGGACGTAGAACTGGTCGAGCTCGTGCTGCTGGTGGAGCTGGTAGAGCTGGTCGACGAGGTACTCGAGCTGCTCGAGGTGCTCGAGGTTGAAGAAGTGCTCGAAGTCGAGCTCGTGGATGAAGTGCTCGAAGTCGAGCTCGTGGTGGACGTGGAGCTTGTCGAGCTCGTTGACGATGTACTAGAGGTGGAGCTCGTGGAACTCGTAGACGAGGTACTGGACGTGGTGGACGTAGAACTGGTCGAGCTCGTGCTGCTGGTGGAGCTGGTAGAGCTGGTCGACGAGGTACTCGAGCTGCTCGAGGTGCTCGAGGTTGAAGAAGTGCTCGAAGTCGAGCTCGTGGATGAAGTGCTCGAAGTCGAAGACGTGGTGGACGTGGAGCTCGTCGAGCTCGTTGACGATGTACTAGAGGTGGAGCTCGTGGAGCTCGTAGACGAGGTACTGGACGTGGTGGACGTAGAACTGGTCGAGCTCGTGCTGCTGGTGGAGCTAGTAGAGCTGGTCGACGAGGTACTCGAGCTGCTCGAGGTGCTCGAGGTTGAAGAAGTGCTCGAAGTCGAGCTCGTGGATGAAGTGCTCGAAGTCGAGCTCGTGGTGGACGTGGAGCTGGTGGACGAGGTGCTTGAGGTGGACGAGGTGGAGACGATCTCACGAGAGCATGCGATAGACCTGCCCACATCGACATGAGAAAAGAGACAATTTGTAACATCCATTTGACTGCGGATAAACGTATACAAGCAAAGCAAGTGCCTCTGTGGGGTCAAAACGGCTTTGGACAGAATGGCTTAGGACACTCTTACCGAGCGCGGTTGCAACGCTGAGTCGTGAGTACCGCAGTTTGGCTGCCATAATCCGTCGGGTCATAATTGATGCGAAGGAGGGCACAATTTCGCCAGCGAATATTGACGTCGGGGTTGGCAAAAGCCGTCAGGTTGACAGGAGAACCATCGGAAAAGGCCAAAACATCGTTTTCAGCCACTGCCATGCCAAGCCATAGATTGTTGGGCAGCTCAATGCCTTTAAGAATCAAAGCTTGCATAAGATCATCAAGCTCCTCCTGCGTGCGGGGCTCGGCGAGTAGTGCGCCTTGATCTGCACAGGCCACGCTGGCGTCATCGTGCGAGTACGTGCCGGGAACGTCCTTGACGACTTCGACTGGTGGCTCGACCGTAGTGAGGGAGGCGCAATATTCTTCTGGGGAAGGGCGCTCGCACATGAAGAAGCGAGGCTTGAAGCAAGCCTTGGATTTCATGACACCAACTTTCGAGTTGTATTGGATGCAGCGATCCGTGCCACCGAGACCCCCCGAAAAGGGAACAGTGCTGGGGTCGACGGTGCCGCTTGGAAACTCAATCATGCCCGGGTTTTCGCTACTAACATACCCGCCCACCCAAAAGCTTTTGATTGGGGATTGGTCAAACAACGCCGAAATGGCTTCAAAGGCGGCCGGGCTGGAAGGGTCAGCCAAACTGGCCCCAAAGCTGGCGCAGTCGATGACGGCATCTTCCCATTTGGCACGATACGTATCCACCAACATGTACTGACGGTTGTTCTCGCCCACCTGGAAGTTGCCGAGGTCGCATGGAGGCCCGTCCGCACGAGCAACACTGGCGAGGACGATGGCCAAGCAGGCGCCGATGAAAAGGCAATGCTGCCAGCAAGTCATGGTGCCGTGACGCTGAAGGGCACGGCCTTCAATAAAAGACAAGATGGCAAGTGGCAAGAAGCCCGGCCAAGACAGAAAGCTTTTGGGGTGTCCCAGTTTCACACTTGCTCGGCGGTCTACGAGGGGGGATGAGTCTGGGGCAGCGTCGAGCGCGCACCGCAAACTCGTCGAGAGGCAAGTCGCCGGAGCAAGGGCGCGAGCGGATGTCTCAAGGAAAGAGAAAAAAAATAAAAGCATTGCATGTGGGGAGACCAACAACCTCAGCCTTTGTGAGCGCTGCAATGGGCCGGACCCCACCAGCAGGCAAGAGGACACAAGCGAGTCGCGCTCGGGTATGCCATGAGGCGCGGAAGGGAAGGGACACTCCCCCTCTCCTCCGATTCCAGCATGGGAGGGGGTGACCACCAACGAATACGACAAAGCCTTTGATGATGATTGAATCGTTCCAACGGTCGTTCGGCGCAGGCGATATGTGCGTGCATGCACCTTTTCGGTAGACACACGCTCGCGTCGCTCGCGTTCATCAGTTGCGTACATGCAGATTCACTTGCTTGCACGCAGTAAGCTGGTGCATTCTCGCAGCTGGCTAGCAAGAAGTGGCTTGTTCGGGGGCAGTCTCATGTCACGAAGGGGTGGCTTGGGGCACAATTGGTGTCAAGGGCACCACCACCCCTCAACGTCAAAAGAGACGAGACGTGAGCTCTGGTTGACGTTGGAGCGTGATGACTTGAACGTCGGGGGTTCGGTTGGGGGCACCCTGAGGTCGTGATGATGAACATGAAGCTGACATTGTGCGTGTAGGTACGTCCAGGTGTCCATGTCGAAGCAACAGCCGGCGGATGTGGCCTGAAAAAGGGGCATCGGAATCAAACGAGTTCTCGGCGAGCCGACTGAGCGAGCGAGCGCGGCAGCCCTCAAGGCAGTCGACTTGATGCGCAACAACATCTACTCAAACTGCACCATAAGCTTACTCTTCATTCTCGAATACATCTGCAAAAACCCGCATGTAGCCAACATTAACTTACGCTTCCACTGCAGCCGACTGATCCAAAATAAACTCAACCCTCCTTATATAAACGGTATTTTCAATACACCCTCACAGGTGTCGCAAGCAAGCCAGCGCCCTTGCTCGTTTTTGGAGAAAAAAAAAAAAAAAAACGCGCATTCCGCTTCGCCTGGCTGCCGTGTGTGCTGCCGCCTTGACGTGGAACCGGGAGCTGGGGGCTGGGGGCTGGGCTTGCTGTTGGGCGAAAGAATGTCTGCTTGATTGGTAGAAAACAAAAGCACAGGGCATAGCGCCGTTGGGCGTTGGCGTGATCAGCATGGCCACATTGAGCATGCGGTGGCCAGCTGCGCTGCTGCTGCTGCTGCTCGAGATGGTCATCGTCGCTGCTGAGGAGCGTGTGGCCACGCAGCTAGGCACCACCTGTGCGCGTTGGCAAAGCCTCTCTCCGGACATGGTTTTAGATGCCTCGCTGCGCTTTGCTCTTGGTGAGCTCTGCTCGGGCTTGGCGCCTCTCCAACCCGTGCTTAATCAGTCCGCACCGTCACACCACGAGGTAAGGGCAAGTTTGCGTGCGGCGCCATTGAGCCAGCTTCGAGAACTTTACCCGGACTTGCTGGCGTTGCAGGCTTGTTTGCATGTTTGCATTCTTGCTCATGGGTTCTATGCTGGCAGGTGTCAGCTATTCTAGACCCATGGACGGACCAGCTTCGTGCGCGTCGCACCGCGCCCTGCCCTTGGAGGCTGGAGCCCTGGAGCACCATCCGGCCGTCCCTGGACATACCGTCTGGCTTTGACGATGCGGTCCGCGATGATGAATTTGCCGTGGTCTGGTCCAAAGATTGGACAGCAGATTGCCTCATCTCAGCGGCCTTGCTCAACACCACGGCCCGTGCCACGCTCGTGCAAGCGGACCTCTCGGCCGTTGTGGCCTCTATCCAAGCCACCAATATGACCTCTCAGATTCGCACCTGGGCGCAGCGTCTCTCCGTTCTATACATTGGGGCCTCCTTTACCAATGCCTCAGATCTTGCTACCTTCCTCAACTGGACGCAGCCGTCGTCCCTGGGCCTGCGAAAGCAGGCCGCTGCACTTGACATTACGGCTTTGTCCGTTGCCAGCCAGGCCATCGAGCAGCTTGATCTCAGCAACAACATGCTCACCGACATTCCTAGCAACTCCTTTGCTCACTGGCCTCGGCTGCGTCGCCTCTCGCTCTCTGGGAATGAACTGACCGCGCTGCCCGCAAACGTCCTGACGGGCTCCACAGCCCTCGAGGTCCTGAAAGTCGAGAGCAACCAGCTGACGGCCCTGCCGGCTACCTTCCTGACCGGCCTCGTACATCTCCGCAACCTATCCCTCGGTATCAATGAGCTCACGAGCTTAGCCCCAAACTTTCTTTCGGGCCTGACCAACCTGCAGTACCTCTACCTCTACTTCAACCAGCTCACTGTGCTTCCACCACAGTTCCTCCGTGACCAGCACCAGCTCGTGCACCTGAGCCTCGAGGACAATCTGATCGCCAACATTCCGACCGGTGCTTTCGATAGCCTAACCCGCCTCGAGTATCTGTACCTCTACTCCAACCACATCTCTGCTCTGCAAGCCGACGCTTTTGCTCGGCTCACCCGGCTCTTGCACCTCAGCCTGGAATCGAACCGCCTCACTGCCCTGCCCGCTGGCCTCTTGAACTCGTTGCCGCATTTGGAGATGTTGTACCTGTATGCCAACGATCTTACTACGCTACCCGCTCACTTTTTTGATCATCAGGGCTCCCTGTTTCATCTCAGTATGCAGTACAACGCCCTCTCCGAGCTTCCCGCGGGCATCTTTGACCATCTTCAGGCTCTCGAAGCCTTGTACCTCGAATCGAACCAGTTACGCGCTCTCCCTCGCGATGCTTTTCAGGCCCTGACCCGACTACGTATCCTCTCCCTTGAGAACAACCACCTGACCACCCTTCTCCCGGGTGTGTTTGATGCGCAGACGCAGCTGCAGCAGCTCAACATCAGCTACAACGACCTCACAAAGCTGGCATCAGACGCGCTGGTACCATGTCCCCAGCTTCGGAGTCTGGACCTCTCCAACAACCGCTTTGCTGCCCTTCAACTCAATTTGCGTCCCCTGACAATGTTGGAACATTTACAAGGACAGCGTGCTGATTGTCCAGCCAACTATCAAGTCAACCTGGAAACAGCTCCTGGTCTGAGCTTCCTCTCCCTCGACTTTGGGGGAGCCAATGTGCAGGGAATCAGCTGGCAGGACCACCCTCGCCTTGTGCGCCTCGGCCTTGACTTGGGCGCAGACCAGACCCAGGCCCGGATCGACGCATCTGGACTCACTGCTTTGCGTCAGCTTGGCGTCAGCTGCTTTCGTCGTGCCCGTGCTCTCGCCATCAACCCCGACGCACGGTCGCTCCTGCAGCAGCTCGACGTTCATGGCATGACGCAGCTACGCAGCCTCGTTGTGACCGATCCCAGTCTCTCGCTCGACTCATACAATGTTTCCGGCAACCCTCTGCTCACCGACGCCACCCTGCTCAACGCAAGCATCTTTGACATGTCCGATACCGGACTCGACTTTGCGCCCCTGCTCTGTGCGCGTGCCGGCAGCAGCTTTTTCGTCGCGAACCACGTGCATTCCACGCTCGACTGGGCACGTCTCCTCCACCACTGCCTGGATGCAGGAACCAAGGTCCTGGACTTTTCCAACAATCACATCAGCGACATTGGGTCTCTGGCCCAGGCGCTGCAAGTGCGCCTTTACGTGGGCAACGCTGAAGCCGATCAGTGCCGAGCGCGGGACGGTGCCAACCAACCCGTCTGCAGCTTTGCCGACCTCCCCATCCTTATCATGCAAGACAGTCCCTTGCAATGTGGCCTGCAGCAGGATCAGTCACATGTCTACGATGAGCACCAAGCCGAGATTCGCCCGTTTGGTGCACACCGCTTTGTTTGCGGATGTTCCCCGGGCTATGTGCAGTCGGGTGATCGATGCGTTCTGGCACCAACCCCCATCGCGCAGCAACCATGGTTTGTGGTCCTCATTACCCTGTGTTGTGTGGCTCTGCTCGCCTTGCTTGCCTTGGGCTTGCGGCGGTGGCACGTCTTGGGGCTACGGTCCCTGTCGACGGAGCATGAGCTGGAGCGCATGCTCCTGACAACATCTTATGCCGATGAAATTGCCGAACTCAAGGAGGCCTGGCGCGTCCATCGCCCCGAACTTGAACTTGTGCAACGCATCGATCTCGAGTCTCCGGGCGCTTTTGGTGAGGTTTGGCAAGCCCGTTGGCAAAGCTTGGACGTGTGCGTCAAGGTCCTCAACAAGCGGGCCATCACCAGCTCTGCCGCCGTGCAAGATTTTGCAAAGGAACTCGACTTTTTGCAGCGTGCCCGTCACCCACAGCTGGTGCGATTTTTTGGTGCTGGCGAGGGTAGCTTCCATGGCCAGGACGCGGTTCCGTTCTTAGTGCTGGAGCTTGTGCAGCTGGGATCCTTGCGCGTGGTACTCAAACGGGGTGGTCCAGACCGACAGCCACTCACTACCAAGCAGCGACTGCAAATCTTGACCGATATCGCCACGGGCCTCTGCTATCTTCACGAGCTGGGCCACGCGCACCGAGATGTCAAGTCTGGCAACGTCCTCATCACTGACTCCTTGCGGGCCAAAGTCTCGGATTTCGGCTCAGTTAAGCTGCGCGAGCGCTTCGCGGCTTCCTCAAAAACGTCCACCTCGTGGTCCACTCGTGCTAGTCTTCGACACAGCGTTCCCAGTATATCGGCCTCCATTCCTGAGTCTGAGAACCTGGAATCATCTGAGTTGGCGTTAACGCAGAGCACGCTGGTTGGAACTCCGGCTTACATGGCCCCTGAGGTGCTGGCCACGCGCCGCAGTGGTGACTTTGCTGCCGACGTTTTTGCGTATGCCGTCGTCATGTGGGAGACCCTGACAGGGAGGGTTCCCGATCTGTTGGCCCAAGAGTTTAGCGCTGAGGAACCATACGAAGGTCCACTGATGCTGGGCCTCGGCCGGCTTCTTCAAGCCGGGCGCCGTTTGGATGTGCAGCTCATTCGTCAGCTGCGCCCCGACGTTCCTGAAGATCTCATTGACCTGTTAGAAGCTTGTTGGGTCACTGAGGTTAAACTTCGGCCCTCTTTGCCCAGCATCGTGCAGCGGCTTGCGCGCTGCTCTGTTGCTAAATAACTGAATAAGGGAAACAAAGGAGTCCAGATAGTAGATCGAGTTTCGGAATTTTGCACTTTTTTTTGGTTGTTTATTTTTGTTTTTGTTTTTTGTTTTTGTTTTTTTGTCTTTTTTGTTTGTTTTCGTGTGTTAGATTGTTGCTTTTGTTGTCTTCCTGATGAAGCTCATGGCATGTTCGTCGAATTTATGTGCTGCCGCCACGAACCAACTGCCTTTGGCAAAGGCCATCAAAGCGAAGTCACGTATGTTTTTCTTTTTTTTTAAAAAAAAAAAAAAAAACACTCTACCAGCCGCTCACCGCGACCAAGATTTTTGAGCAAGTTTCAAGGCGAGATTTTTTGCGTTCTCTTTAATCTCTTATTGTGCTAATTCGATTCGACGCTTTCTGAACCTACATGTTAATGAGAATGGAACCAAAACCAAAACTTCCACACGCAAAGCCAATGATACGGGAGAATAGTGGACACAAGCACTGTGACTTTAGGGGCCAGCAATAATCAGAGCAGGTTACCAAGAGAGTAGATTCAAAACAAAGTGAAGAGTAGGCAGATTGATAAACGAAGCGCCACAGATGTATTTCAAATAAACAAACATGGTCCCGGCACCTCTATGTGTGTACAAATCAATGCAAAAAGAAAAAACCATTCACGTGCTTGCGAATGGTACAGTTGCGCATTACAAAGAACTATGTTGCTACGAGTAGGCGACGAGACAGTGCCAGCGACATGATAAAAAAACAAGCAAATGTGAGAACCCATTTGACGTGCAAGGGACGGCGCTGGGAACACCGCAATGGCACAAACACTCACCTCCTTGCTGTCATGCCACCACCACAACGCGTTTTATTTACAGTCGGGGAGACACGACGAAGAAAACATTTCGAAAACGGATGAGTGGGGCACCGAGCTGGATTCAGCTGTAAGCTAGTAAAGACTAGAGCGAGGTTGCGCTTACACATTCTGACTCTTGCTGGAGGCCGTTGAGCGGATGGAGCGGCGCTGTAGCGACAGACAGAGTGCCAAAATGAGATGCACGCGCTTTACAAACGAGCAATACCCATTCGTGTCAGAAGGAAAGTCAGGCAGGGACCATGGTTCGTACATCAAAGCTAACATCGGATCCGTTCCGAGAGGCCAAAGCCTCGACACCACTGCCTCGACGCGTAACTTCCATCACCTTGTCGGCTCGGTGACGCAGGTGATAGCTGAAGCTCGTAACCCACTGTCGTTGTGCTGCATACGGGTACGGCCAAGTACACATGGCCAAGCATGAATGTCAAGTCAGGGAAGCGTCTGAGGTGACCTCGAAAAGTCAGTCCAACGACATACCAGTCCCAGATGGAGCACGGATGATCATGGTCAAGTTCTGCAGGCCGCCAGAGCAAGGCGGGTGATAGGTGACCGTCTCCAGCTCCTTCTCGTGCACGCAATCGCCACAAGCTGCAGGCATCGAATACGCGGGCCGTTCGTCCACAAACCAGCATGAGCACGCATGTGCCCAGGGTAACAAAGCATGAGCCAGGACAATGATTGACGACATACCGCGACACTTGAACATGTAATGCTTGTTCAGCACGCCGGCAGAGATGGGTTTGTGGCAATACGAGCATTGGGTGCCCTGCACACACGCCAGTCACGGCCACATCAGTGCCACAAACCATGAGAGGTGCCATTCAGATTATCAAAAGCCACATGTCCCCAAAGAGGACAGATTGCAGGGATGTGTCTTGCCGGGCCGATTCCGCAGGCGTACCTTTTTCGCGACGACCCGCTCGTAATCATGGCCACCATACTAAATTTACCCAAAAGTTTTCCCGATGAGAAGAAGAGGTGAGCCAAGTCGCGTGTCGCAGGGTCCCAGTTCAAAGCACCATGCATGTCTACGATCACGTACTTTCTTCTTTTTACCGGTTCGGCGCTGAGCGCCGACGGCGGCTGCCAGGGCCTCGGCATTGTGGCTGCTATCGCCAGAAGATCCTCCGTTGTCACCCACAGCAAACGTGGAGGAACGGGACATGGCGCCCTTGAGACTCGCACCAATGGCAAAGCTCCCTCCAGCATGACGTGAAAACGTGGAGCTCGAATGCGAGTCGTCATGAATCAATGCCAACTATTCCAAACAAGCCAAAACGGATCACCCAGATGGGTTGGGTGAGCACCGCTAGACGACAGAGAAAAGCAGGATTAAGCCCAAGTCTAAGAGAAGCGTGCCTTGAAGATCCGGGCCACGTCCTCATCGCGGGCGTGCACAACATCCTGGCGCTGCACCGGTTCTGCTTGGGTAATGGCCTTGACCGGGTATAGAGCGCTGCGAGCAAGCATTTCAATGAGACAGAACGGCGGAGAGGGACAGGAAGAGCCGACGCAAGTGGGCAAACCGAAAGATGCTCAGGTCTACGGTGGAAATGCAGACGGCTCGACTTACTGAGGCACCGTATCCTCGCTCACGGGTTTGCGATCAAAGATAAAGAGCTCAAAGTCGGTAAGTACGAAAAACACCTGCTCCCAGTCCCCCTTGCGGATACCTTTGGGCCCGACGCGCTCCACATAGCTGGCAGACACAAAACGCCCAAGGACATGACATGATGCAAAACGGATGAGATGGTGCCACTGTCCCACAGGTGACATGCAACAGTGAACCTCAAAGCAGACTGACCCGTGCATGTTGCCTTGCTGGACCGCAATGGGCGGCAAGGGGAAAGATGAGATGGAGTTACTGCTCGACGCATTGGAAGTGCGGAGGTTAGGAAGCGAATTGCGTTTGATGGACTCCACTCGGACCAGCGATGATCCAGCGGCCGACGCAACAGCGGGATTTTTGGCAACAGCAGCAGCCACTCCAAGTGATCCGCTGGAGCGGTTTGAAGGCAACTCCACAACCGACGTCGACACGCCGGCCGGGTCATCCTGATCATCCTCAGAATCTTCGGGCCCGCGAGATTCATCCAAGGCGGCCTGCAATTCCTGCTGCTTGATCAATGCCTCTTCAAAATCAGCCTCAAGCTCATGCATCTGCGATGGGCAAAGCAACCAGCAAGAGATACTCAGAGATGTCGGAAAGGCCGCCGCCCCTCACCCAAGTGTCGTGATATCCTATCCAGATTCACCGGCATGCATTTGGCGCACCAAAAACAGGCGGCTGCACTCAAATCCGAACCGCAGGCAGGATACTAACCGCTTGACGAAGATGCTCATTTTCTTGGCGCCTTTCATCCAGCCGCTTTTGCGCCTCTTCCAACTGCACATGCCCACCCAGCCATCAACTCATGAGCAAGCAAACGAATTGCATATTTCTCCTTATCTTCGTACATGCTTTCGGTCTCCATCGCAGAGAAATTAGTCACGGGCACCATCACCATCAAAGACGTTGCCATACCTTGAGGCGAAGCTCATTCTCACTCTGGCCCTTTGGCGCACGCGGAGCCCGGCGTTTGATTGAAGCCGTCACGGCACGGCTCAGCGGAATCTGCAAAGAAGATCCACCCTTCTCCACTTCACCCGACAGCATTTTATACTTGGCGTCAAGCACATCGCGCTCCTCTTCAGTGCGTTTGAACTGCTCGAGCAAAATCATCCAGATGAGTCCCCTGCTTAATACGATCCAGCACACAAGACCACATGTTTGCGAGGCGGCGGACCTTGGTCTCCAAGGCTTGGGATTGCTCGCGCATTTTGCGGTTGTCCAAGATGAGCTGTCAAATTTGTCAGTTTCAGCAATACGCATCGATGTGAGGCCAGGTCCAGCGAAGATCGGTAGCCCAGAACAACCATGGTATGCCCAACCAAGCAAGAAGAAGAGGGGCATTCACCTGGTCGTGCATAACTTTGATGACGTTGCGCTCCTCCCGGGCTGCATCACGCTCATTGATGAGCGCTTCAGTGCGCGCCTAAAGCGTGGAACAGCAATGCGTGCGCAGCCAGCAGTCACTGAAGCCATTGGGGGTTGCTAAACGAAAGGGATTGGATCTCTAAACGAAGGCGCAGCACCGCAAACGCACCAACAAGGCGGCCTCGGCCTCGCTGCGTTTGAGTTCAGCCTGGCGCACACGCTCTTGCAAGCTTTCGAGCTACACATTCAAGATATCGCATGAACAAGTGAGGTGTATCATATTGCGGCGTGTGCAGTAAACTACCAAGCTAATAATTGTCGGGTCTTGAACGAACCTGATAATCGGCGCTCTCTTGATCCAATTCTTTGCGCTTGAGGGTCTGCGACACAGCTTCAAATTCTTTCTTCAGCTGGTGGTAGTCATCCTCAATCTCCTTCACGCTGGCCAGCTCGGTGCGCAACTGGTCGAGTTGTTCTTCCTTTTGAGCGAGCTACGTCAACCCAAAACATTTCTGAGTGAAGACGCAGGTCGCAGCTTGCACCAACGCGGTTGGTCGGCTCAACCAGACCAAAATTGTCACCCAGAGAGTCATTTGATCCCCACGCCCTCCTGCTCATCGTTTTCACAAGATTACACGACGCACCTTGATCTCAAGCTCGTCGTTAGGTGCGGCATGGTCAGCGGCATCATGAGCCTCCTGTAACTGCGCATCCTTCTCGCCAAGTTCATCAAGCGCCTGGTGCAGTTCATCCACCTTCTCGTCAAACTCGGTCTGCTTGGCAGCCAACTCGTTCTGCACCTTGGCAAGCTCCACTTCAAGCTTTTCACAGCGCTCCCGTGCTTGAGTCAGAAGGCCTTGCGTCGAGTCAAGGCTTTCAGTCAACTCCTCCTTCTCCTCCTGCAAGGCATCTGCCTTGGCCTTGGCCTCGGTTGCCTCGGTCTTCAAGTCAATCAGATCCTATCCGACATAAGAGAACAAGAGCAAGAAAGCAACGTTGTCAGACGAAAATGCGTTTGGGAAGATCCTTGATAGGGGGAAAAGAGAAGGCAGACCGCAGTATCAACATCCTCCTCTAGGGCTTGCAGCTGGCGCTTGAGACTGGCCACAGTGCCGTTCAAGACCGTGATTTCGTCCACATGTTCATCCACGGCTGGGTTATGCGATTCAACAGTGGTTTTGAAGACAAAAAGATCAAGGAAAAAAACAAAAAAAAAACAAAAAAAAAAAACAAAAAAAAAAAAAACAAAAAAAACAAAAAACATGCATGACCAATGAGATGCTGCGCCTCACACTGGCGGCCAGAGTCTTGCATGTTCGAGCGGTCTCCAGCAGCCCATACCGTCCTGAAGTTCATTGATAATTTGGTTTCGCTTCTTGACCTCGCCCTCCAGTTCAGTGGTACGGGTGCGAAGGGCATCCAGCTGTGAAGCCGTTTCCTGCATCCTGTGTGTTGCGATTAGAATCAGCTCTGATCCTTTTGCATGCAAAGGCACTTCAAACTCAAAGTTCAATAAAAAGTGGTCGAGTAAACATACTGGCGCTCCGCTTGCTCAGCATCTTGTTGTGTTTGTGCAGAGCGCATGCGCTGGAGGTCACGGGTCATCTGACGCACCGCAAGGCTGTGAGCAACCAGACAGCTAGGGTCTGACAACAACGGCAACGGTGAGTGGTGCGTTGATGCACTTGCACTTTACCTCATCAACAGACTCCTCCAGCTCAGCGGTTCGATTGCGGAGACGAAGGATGGTACTCTCCTTGCTGTGGACATGGTGCGGGTGTGCGCAATGTGAGAATAATGCGGTATGGCTTGATGCGGAGAAAAAAAAAAAAAAAAAGAAAAAAAGAAAAAAAAAAAAAAAAGTCTGCGAACCGAACGAGCGCATGCCGAAAGCAAAGGATGATAGCCTACTTTTGCAGTGTTTCTTGAACGGACGTGTGTGTTTCCTCAAGCTCGTGCTGCTTGTGCTGAGCCTCCTTGAACTTTTTGCGCCACTGCTCAGCCTTCTCACCCAGCTCGGTGCATTGGGTTTCGGCACGGGTTGCACGGTCCACAGCGCGGTCTTGCTTGCGCTTCATGATGTCCAGCTCGGCTTGCAATTCGTCAATTTGATCTTGCAGTTTGCTGCACTCGCGTGGGAAAACAAGGGTTGAGCCCCAGGCAGATCAGTGATCAAAAAACAAAACAAAACAAAACAAAAAACAAAAAACAAACAAACAAACAAAAACGAATCAGGTGTGGATAAAGTGTTGACTACGAACCGTTTCTCAGCGATGACCGCCTCTTGGTTATTGCTGGTTTCAGCCAGGTTGGACGCGGAACGGCGTTTGAGGGAGCGGTTTTGGAACAGCATACGCTGCTTTTCAATCGACGACTCACGTAGTTTCTGCTCGCGTGCCATATCGTGAGTCAGCTATTGGTCAGTGTGGTGTGCGTGCATTTCTACACGTGCCGACAAAACTAACCTCCTGGCAAGCCTCAAGCTCCTGAGTGAGCTGCGCATTCTGCTTGTTGGATTCTTCGACCGTGACTCGCAAGGTAGTGAGCTCTTGCTCGAGTTTCTTGAGCTGGCGCTCTTGATCCTTGTTCAGCTACAAGACAAAAGTTTATGAGAAGGTCGCATCGGCCTCGCAATCTTACCAACCAATTCGGACAGGCGCTTGTGTCAACCAACCGTTTCAATCTCCTTTTCTTTCTCTTCCAAAGCCAGACGAGCCTTGCCCTGTTCTGAGCGCAGCGAGATGTCGAGCTGAGCCTTCAAATCGGCGTTGGCTTGTTCCAGCTCCTGAAACTTGTTGCGAAAATTGAGTGTTTCGGCCTTGGCCTCTGTCAGCTCCTTTCGCGCCACAGCGAGCTCCTCCTTGGCCGTCTCATAGTTGCGCTGAGCGTCCTGCGCAACCGTGGATTGCAGCTCCGCGTCTACCACCACGGGCTGAGCTGTGCTCGCGGCGGGCTTGGCCGAGGCTGGCTGGATCAACAGCTTGCGCTGAAAGGAGAATCCCACAAAGGGGAGCTGGTTACCCGCAAAATCGCGTGCAGTCGGCAACGCTTCGGACTTTTTTGGCGTCTAACAGACAAGCCCCCGAAAAAAAAATAATAAAAATGCATGGCACCTGTGAGTCGAAATCGGAATGTATCCTGTAGAAACACTGTCATATTGTTGCATATGCCAAACAGCAGCCTCAACGCACATCAAACTCAGGGAAGTTGGCAGCGTCTTCGGGCGAAGAAATTTCTGGAATATACGGTGGCGCCTGCGTGCGCAGGTTCTCCCACACTACCCCCTAAGGAAGTGAAAAGTAGGGTTATTCAAAACCAGAAGAAAACACCAGGAATTGACCTTCTTCTATGCCAGAGAGAGAGAGAGAGAGAGGAAGGCATGCCAGAGCTTTGGAGATCAACACCCCAGCTCTGAAGTCCTGGTGAAAGTCAACGCACTTTAAAAAAGGGGTGGGCCTTGATATCGGCCACGCCACCTGGCCCCGCTCCAAGCCGCTTTTCGCGCGGGCAAATGAGCTGCTTGAGCAAGTCCAAAGCCTAATCCGAGTCGCAAAATTAGCGGAGCTAGTCATGCAGGACCTGAAACTGCAGGGCTTGCCGGTGAACATGCTGGGAGAAGAGGGCAAGCACACACCTCAGGGCTGAGCTCAATGTCCTCGGGTGCCTCGAGGGAATCAGGGTCGTGGTTGGAGATGTTGGAGTACATCTTGGTCAAAGCTTCGTCGTAGAAAAGACACTCGCTATATCAGGGCGCGGATAAGGAATCGTGTCAGGCCAGAGCATGTCTGGGTTTCATACAAGCCACATAGTGGAGACAGGACCAACCCAGTCAAGAGTTCGTAAAGAAAGAGGCCAGCTGTCCACCAGTCACACTCGGGACCATACGTCTGTCCTTGCTGCGAGTTGAGCACCTGTAAAGACGCCAATGACCCGACGGGGAGACCAGCGTTGAGCACAAGCGCGCTTTATGGGCATGTATGCAGAAGCCCATACCTCGGGACTGATGTACTCGGGTGTGCCCACGGGCATTGTGCCGGCCATGACCAGCCCGTCCTTTCCGATGCGAGCACAGGATCCAAAGTCGGCAAGCTGGGCACCCACCACGCAAGTTTGATGAGGAAGCAGTTACATTCTGTGATTCGTTGGCCGAGAGCAGTACTCGGCCGACATACCTTCAGGTGCCCGCGTTGATCCAACAGCAAATTCTCGGGTTTGACGTCGCGATGAGCATATCCCATCTTGTGCAGGTCATCGAGAGCCAGGATCAACTCGGCAGCATAAAAGCTAAAGCAGAAGTGGCCAAGAAGATGAGGTTTGCTCTGGTGCACCACGGCCGAGCAACGGGGTGGTTCGCATCGTGCCAAGGCGTTTGCATGTCGACTCACCGGGCCATGTCTTCCTGAAAAGGCCCAATCTCATCAATGAGGGAGATAAGGTCACCACCTATTAAAAGCGGGATCCCGGGCGAAATGTGGGACAATAGGCAGCAAAAAAAGATGCACAAGAATATGAAGGCATGATAATCCGCCTCGCTGGTTCTCAAAAGAGGGGCCTGCTCGCCCCCCCTCAAAAAAAAAAAATGCTGGGTTGCGAGCGTGAGGTATTGGGACAGACCTGCTACGAATTCCATAGCCATAAAGAGAAAGTCCTTATCTTGAAAAGCGTAATGGAGCTGTACAATCCATGGTGAATCAGAGGTGGCCATCACATTCAGTTCCGACCAAAACTGGGCCTCATCAGTCTTGGATAGCATCTCTTTCTTGCTCAGCTTTTTGAGGGCAAAGAGCTCTTGTGTGACTTTGTGACGAACGAGTTGAACCTCTCCAAAGGCTCCCTGTCCGATAATCTGTATTCACGGTGAGGACAAGGCCAAAGCAGTGAGGACAAAACCAGAGAGGCCAAAACGGCGAGGACACGACGGCCGGCGGGAGCCATGTGATGGGTTCAGATGAACGCACGCGCATGACTTCAAAATCAGCAGCTTTTGGACGCAAGGCCACCGTGTGTTCAATAAATTCATGATCTGCCACCAAACGTCAAGATAATAAGGACAACAAGTCGGCCTCCGAGCATCCAAACGAGGGCGAGAGACGGTCGATCATGCGGATAAGGTGCAGAGCAAGGTCAACACGCACAGTTGTCGTGAAACCGTTGAACAGCTGACAGGCCTTTGACCTTGGGGGCTTGCGTCTCAACACCAAGCGCCACCAAAGCGTCCTATTGTGCAAAAGGAAAGAAATGGATGATGCCATCGAAGCGAGGAGCTCGGGGTGCGTCATGACCTTCAACGGTAATCGGATCAATAAGAAGGGAGAACCAACAATAAAGGCGTCGAGGCGCAGAGCATGATGCTGGGAGCAGATGGCGGCAGCAAACTCCTCGTCTGAGGTAGGGATATCGTGATGTGTGGTCGCCATGTTGTTGTTGTGGTGCAACCCGGCGCCGAGCGGAATAAAGCTCAAAGAGGAAGATCAAATGACCAGCTCGATCCCAGGCGCCATACTCTAGCCAATTCAGATCGGAGTTGGGCAGTGCCTGAGGTTACGGCAGCACAGCTTGGTGAGGAGGGGAGCTCAAAGGCGCGAACATGGTCAAGCAGGTTGGGGAGAGGATTGCGCGGGCGCTCATGTGGTACATGGGGGCGAAACACCGACACAGTTCTGTGCGTGTGTGTTTGTACGGACAGGGATGTGATAATGTAAGGCATTTGCAGGGACAGCGCGAGGAGTGGGGCCGCGGACCGCAGGAGCTGGACGAGCGCAGGTGCGGTGCGCTCGCGCTGACTCGCGTCAAGCTTTTGCAGCTCGAGCCCCACACCAAAGCGAAAACCAATCCGGCCATCTCACCTCTCAAACAAGAAACAAAGCGCCACAACACCCCAGCCAGCCCTCAAGCCAGCCACCAAACCTTGAACCAGCGCCACGCGTGGCCAAGAACCGACTGTCACTCGCGCAAGTGCGCACTGTGCCACTGCCACTGCCACCAGTGTCGACGACACGAAATGTGATCAACAACAACAAAAAAACCCCAAAAAACCAAAAAAAAAAAAAAGAACAAAAAGAACAAAAAAAAAACTGAAAATTGAGAGCGCCACTTAAAAAAGCAGGGGATTTGACTTTTATTTTAGGGAACAAAAGCGACTTTACCACCAGAACAACTGACATGTGGTAGCAAGAGCCGGGAGGGGTCAAAGCATAGGAGATATTGACCTCTTTTGACGGTTACAACCGGCAACTGTTTGTTTTCGCGCGTAAGTTTGAAACCCGAGAACGCAGCGGAGGTGACTCGGGGTGTTCGGTGGGATCCGCGTCTTGAGTTGTCTCGGGCGTGTGTTGTTGGTGGTGGGGCTTGAGGGTGCCGTTGCGCCAGATTGCCGCGCTGATTGTAGCAACGTGAGGCTTTCAACTCGAAAAACAAAAAACAAAAAAAACAATAAAGCAGAGGAGGAGCTTCTGCGCGCGATAGGATGGCGACGACGCCCCCGGCCACTCCCCCGGCCACCCGGCCGCAAGCACCTCCGCGGTTGCCCACGCCTGGGAGCACTGCGGCGCGCGCCGCCGAGGAGAATGCCAAGGCCACAGCAGCTTTCCCGCCCCTTATGGATGACCTCTTCACGCGACTGGTACTGGCCCTGCAGCTGGGCAGTTCCGAGGTGAATGCAGCCTGGCACCTGTGGGAACGTCTGGAACCGCACGCTTCCGGCCTCCGCTTCGGCGCTTCGGACAATGCACCTCGTCTTAGCCGTGCTCTAGCCATCTACCTGGCCTGCTGCCCGGCCCTACGCCCAGCCAGTGGAGAAGAGCAACATACCGAGCTTTTTTTCCTGTCCTCCCTGCTCGGTGCCTGCGAAGCCCAGTAAGGCCATTCTCCCTGCGCCTTTTCTCCCTCTTCGCTGTGGTGCATTGCTTGCCTCACCCGCACGGTGCCACGCCCTGATCATCCAGAGCAGCCGAGCTTTTTCTGGCCCTAGACATGGTGATGGAGCATGTGACGTCCACCAAGCCAGCGACGACCGAGCCTGCTTGGCCCTGGGAAGTTCGCGATGTCCGCCATCATGCCCAAACAAAGCTGGCCGAGCTTGCCCTCCTCGAGCCTACGGCCCGCTTCTTTCGAGGCCTGTTGACGGCAGCCAGCCTCGTCTTGGACATGGCCATTCCTGCCGAGCTTGCCCGTTTGCTTTGGCTCCTCATTGTGATTCTACGCTGCCAACCAACCATACCCCGGGCTAGCCTGCGCCAGTCTTATACACTGATCACGACGGTCGTACACCATTTTGTGCGGGATGCCCAGGGCCACACTGCCGACCTGGCTGCATTGTTGGATCGATCCCACCTCAAGTCTGAGCCCTTGCGCGCCATCTTGTACCGTGACACCCCCGTGCTCAAGCACCAGGTCGTTTTGCCACTGCTTGACCGACTGGCTCTCACGGTGACAGCCCAAGCCTGCGCCCACATCCACGACCTCGTTCTTGGCTCAAGCTTGGCTGAAGCCGTCGCCATCTGCGACATGCATTACGATGCCCACCTTCAGCGCACATGTGACGTGGACGAGCGACCGCCCGCCCTGGGACCCACTCCCGCCACAACTGTGCCCCGGTCCTCACCGCGCAAGCGCGTCCGTCAGCCACGTTTGACTCACTTTACTCTGCACGATTTTTTAACCCTTGAGGTGCGCCGCCATGTCATCCTCGGTGGATTGCGCGCATTGCGCCCCCTTTTGGCTGCGTCCATGTGATTGTTTCTTCGTGCTTTGATAACTCCTAGACGCTGCCCATCATTGCTGAGCACCACGCTCCCGAGTCCCCAGAACTTCTCCGCCTGATCCATCAGGTATGTCCTGCGCATTGGATGGCCACCTCGCCAGTTTCGGATCTTGCTGATGCATGTTTTTTTTGGTAAATGTTGTGGCATCAGGTTGCGCATTATCTGGAGAGCGCAGACCTGAAAGCAGACACGATGCAGCTGCGCCGCATGCTCCACTATGTACGTTCATGCTGCTTCTTGAAGTAATTCCAAGCCACCTTGTTGCTGCTGCACTGGGCAGTTTCTGCACAGTTACTTTTGCCTCACAACAACGCTCGGCGCGCGTGACGTCATTTGTAGTGTCGCTCCGCCTTCAAGCCGGCGCTTCCTGCTGAATTGGATCGCACCCTCGTTCTGGTGGCCGTGGTGGCCATGATAGGCCCTACGAGTGAACCAGCACATGCTCGTGCGCTCATGGCCCGACTGGCCGTCACCCCCTGGCAATACTTGGCCGTACGTTACCATGGCCACTTCCCTTGACATACCCAGTCCCTTGCTGGACAGCTTGTCCATTGACATCCCCCCTGCGCGCACTATCACGCACATTGTTGTTCATGAGGCTTGGACACTGCGCTCATGTACGCTGGGTGTGATGGGCAACAATTAGGCGCTTGACTTTTTGATGAAGGGGGCCGTTGATTTTGGTCCACAGCAACGGCATTTCCTGGGACGGCTCGAGAGCTATTGCTGCGGCGTTCTTCTGTGGAACGACGCCTTTTGGCGACCTTCAACTCCACGCCCTCAACTGAAACGCGTGCCTCGCACCTGGCTGGCCAGCTTGGTTTGTGCCCCCCTCCATTGCAGCCAGTGTCCTCCTTTGAAACACAGGCACATCTGCTCTACTACTTGATTCAGCCAATGCACTCTTGCCGTCTTTGACCATGCATTCTGAACCACCATGGGTGGTGCTTGTGACTTGACAGGACACAGCTACGACTGTGAGCGACGCCTGGGAGTCTTTTCTTGCAAGCATGCGGTAAGGTCCATGCCACTCACACTCAACCAAAGCCTGCACATGGATTGCTTTGCCTGTCACTTGCCAGTCGAGGTCTCATGGACATTGCTCTCCAACGCGTCTATTGCCGTCCTCAGGCAGGGCGTGGAGGCCGAAGACCACGCCGAGTTTGTTGAGCGAAAGACGCTGAGTCACGCTGAACGCGTCCTGTCTGAATTGGTGGTTCTTCTGGGCGGGCCCATGGTAGGTCATGCTCAGTGTCACGTCCTCGTCTTAAAGCCTTACTTTTTCCGTCGGCCCGGGTTTGTGTTTGGCCAAGTACTGACATGGGGCTGTACACGTCGTGACTTTGATTTGATGCAAATGGTAGTCCTTGCGAGACGAGGCGCTCAACATTCTCCTTCGTGTCTGTGGAAGTCGGAATTGGAGTCATCTCTTCGGGCTGCATTTGGATGCCATCGTACTCTGCTGCATCCTAGCCAGTCGCCAGCTCCAAGGGCGCCCATTGGAACCTAGCGTCTTGAGCCAGCAGTATTTGCGTACCACCTTTGTATGTTCTTTGCACTCCCTGGACCCGATGCAATGCACACGTGTTTCGGCTCACTTTGGTTACCGTCGCGGCCAGCCGCACTGGGAGATTGGCGCCGATGGTGCAGATTTGGCCCGTTTCTTCAATCAAGTCTTTTGTGTCCTTCCCATCGGTACGATTTCACCTGCTGCAGTGCAGGCCCTTTTGGTTGGTGCTTTGACTTGTCTTTCCTGCTCCTTGTATTTGCAGTCAATGAGCCCCACCGTGTCAAGCAGCTGGCACAGCTGGTGCCCAAAGCTCGACGATATGTCCTTCGCCAAATTGTCGTGCGCCATGTGCCTCGGATTCATCCCTCCACTCCCATGTATGTCGAGCTTGCTACAGTGCTGGCTGAGCCCTCGCACCAAAAGCAGAATGGCCTCGGGGTTTCTGGCACGTGTGGTCTTGGCTGACTGTATCCCTCGTAGGGCTTTGTCTGGAGCGCGCGCACGCCTGCGCGAGCACATCTATGATCGCAGCGATGTCGTCGACAGCCTTCGACACTTGCAGGCTCAGCCACGCGCTCGTCCAGCCGTGAGACGACCCGAACCACCCACTGTGAGCTGACCATTCATTCAACACTCAGCGATCTCTGCTGCAATTGGCACTGCGTGCCTCCCTTCCACCCATTGAGCAAGCGCCGCGCGTTGTCCATTTTGTTCCTCTATGCTTGGATAAGGAAATTCATGAGTCATCGATCGAGCGAGCGAGCTTGTTTGAGAGACATCCTGAGGAGAAACATGGGAAACAGAGAAACATTTGAATTGTGCTAAACAGCTGTTTGGGATGAAAATTTCTTGAAAAAGTCCGCTTGCAAGCCAATTTGCTCCCCTTTTCTTTTGTTGTTGAGACAATCACTGACTCTCTCTCTCTCCCTCTCTCTCTCTCTTTTGCTCTTCTGCGCTCTCTCTCTTCTGCGCTCTCTCTCTTCTGCGCTCTCGCGCTCTCTCTCTTCTGCGCTCTCTCTCTCCTTTGCGCTCTCTCTCTCCTCTCTCTCTCTCTCTCTCTCTCTCTCTCTCTCTCTCTCTCTCTCTCTCTCTCTCTCTCTCTCCTCTCTCTCTTCACACACACACACACTCTCTGCTCTCTCTCTCTCTGTTTCCTGCGACCGACCCGAGAGGACGCATCACGGACACGGGCGGCGAGCGTCCTGCTCTGGTGTTGGATTGTCCTGCTTTTGGGGTTCTGCCCTTTTCTTCTTCTCGCCCCGGTGCGGCTCGATTGGCGCTGCAGTGCTTGCTTCCAAGGTTTAGTGTCAGCTTCACCACCCTCTTTAGTGTTTGCTCTGAGGTATTCTAGTTGTTCAAGTTGCGCTGCCACCCTTGCCGCCCCCCGGCGCTTGCCAGCTCCTCTTCTGCTTTGCTGATCTTGCTCGCGCTTTGGCCGTCCGGCCACCTTCCACGCTCTTGCCATCTCCTGATCCTTGCGTCGTCGCTTCTGTGCCTTGTTCGCTCTCCAGCCATAAACCAGCATCATGGTGAAGGAGGACATGCGTGGACTCCACAACTTTATCACCGATGTGCGCGCTTGTAAGTTACCTCTCCCAAGCGCCGTGCACCCACACTAGCCAGGCAAAGCCCACCATCTCCCTCTGACTGATCTCGCAACGATTGGCCCAGGCAAGTCGCAAGAAGCTGAGGTCAAGCGCATCAACAAGGAGCTTGCCAACATTCGCTCCAAATTCGGTTCGTTGGCGCAACGGGCCACCCACTGGCGACCAAATGCTCCCCACACGCTTGTTCTAACAGGACCTGCACCCTTCAGGTGACAAAAAATCTCTCAACGGCTACCAGAAGAAGAAGTATGTGTGCAAGCTGCTGTTCATCTTCCTGCTCGGCCACGAGATCGAGTTTGGTCACATGGAGGCCGTCAACCTCCTCTCCTCGCTCCAGTTTTCGGAGAAGCAGATGGTTTGTTTTTCGAAATCTTCACATCGTTTGATCCCCCACCAAGGCATGCACTCACCACCCGGCCGGTGACCGCAGGGCTACCTCTTTGCTTCAGTCATGATGAACGAGCACCACGAGCTCATGCGCCTGGTCATTACCGCCATCAAGACGGACTTGACTGATCGCAACGAGCTCAACGTCGCTCTGGCTCTCCACTGCATCAGCAACATTGGTGGCAAGGAAACCGCCGCCGCTGTTCACGGCGAGGTCACGCGCCTCCTGGTAGCGCATGAATCGCCCAAAAGCGTCCAGAAGAAGGCTGCTCTGGCCGCCTTGCGCCTCTATCGCGAAGCCCCAGAACACATGGCCCTGGACAAGGCCTCGCGCCAAATTGTTCAGCTTCTCACCAGCTCCGACTATGGTGTCGTCATGTCCGTTGCTAGCCTCATCATCTCCGTTGCCGCCGATCATCCCGAGGACTTTGCCGAGTGTGTGCCCTTGGCCATCAACACTCTGCATCGGATCGTCTTTCAGCCGGACCAGTCCAAAAAGTATGCCTATCACGGCGTCAATGCCCCGTGGCTTTCGGTCAAGCTCCTTCGTTTGCTTCAGCTCTTCCCCTTTCCTGGTACGCCAACCTCCCCACCATAGCTGCTCAACATTTGGTGCCCATCTGCCTCTGGGCTCTGTACTCACATGAAACCGCACGGGGTGGCTGTCCCAACATGTGAGCAGCTGATACCGCCGTGGCTGAGCGGCTGGTGGAGACGCTCCGCCGCATCCTTCAGTCCGAAGCTCGCACGCCCGGGCGCAAGCCCCGTGCCCAGTTCCTCAATTCGAAGAACGCATCCTTGATCGAAGCCATCAACCTCATTGCCGTGCACGACAAGTGAGTTGATGCACCAGCAGAGAGTTTTTTTTTTTTTTTTTTTTTTTTCCTCGTTTCTTTTCCTTCTCCTTCCGCACTCATTGTCAATGCCCCGATTGGCGTCCTTGGGCTAACACCCGTGTGTATTGGAATGCTGCTTTTGGGTTCGACAGCGAGCCTGAGCTGCAGATCCGCGCGTGCGGCATCCTGGGCAACATGCTCTCTTCGGACGAAGTGAACAGCCGTTTCCTTGCCCTCGAGGCTTTGACGGTCATGGCCCAAACAGAGTTTAGCCACGATGCCGTGAAGAAGCATCAAAGCGCCGTTTTGCGAGCGCTCCAGACGGAAAAGGATTACAGCGTTCAGCGTCGGGCGGCCGACCTCCTCTACGCACTTTGCGACCAAGAATCAGTGGAGATGATCGTTGATCAGCTGCTCGACTTTTTGAAGCGTGCTGCGTATGCTGTCCGCGAAGAACTCGTACGCCCTTGTTCTTGCCCGTCCGCATTGCCGCTTTGTCGCCCTGTTTTGTCCTTTGCATCACGCTGTATATTTTTGTCGTGATATTTGACTTTCTGTTTGCTGCATACTTTTGCCTCCATCTCTCAGGTGATCAAGATTGCCATTCTGGCGGAAAAGTATGCCCCCATCTACTCTTGGTATGTCGACGTCATGCTCCGACTCATCAAGCAGACAGGCGACTACGTGCCCCAACAAGTTCTCTACCGTGTTGTTCAGGTACGCTCCTCGGGCGCTTTTTGCAAACCGTCAGCGGGACGCCTGCTGTTCTTCTTCTTGCTCTGAACCCAACCAGTGGCAAGCCGTCTCACGCAGCTCTGGATGCCCCTGTCCACTTTGTGCTTTGTTTTGGGGCGGGTGGGCAATCTGTCTCAGGTCATCATCAATCGTCAGGATGTGCAGGATTATGCTGCCAAGACCTGCTACGAGGCTCTGTTGGACCCAGCAGCACACGAAGCCATGGTGAACATTGGTGGTTATGTTTTGGGCGAGTTTGGCCATCTCATTGCCAACGACCCCAACTCCACCCCAACCAAGCAGCTGGATGTGTTGCAGATGCATTACCCCATGATGTCCGCCTCCACTCGTGGCCTTCTCCTGTCCACCTACGCCAAACTGGCCAACCTCTTCCCCGAGCTCCGCACAACCGTGCTCAATCTCTTGCAGAGCGAGAACCTGTTGCGCAACTCAAACAACGAGCTGCAGCAGCGCGCCAACGAATACGTCCAACTTCTCAGCTCGGGCAACGCTGAGCTTGTCCCCTCGGTGTTTGAGGAGATGCCCCCCTTTAATGAAGAGCAGTGCGCCATGCTCCAAAAGCTGGAGGACAAATCTGCTGCTTCAGCCATGGACACCAAGACGGGCTCCATTGCCGTGGCACGCAAGCGCAAACAAGCCGCTCCCCTGGCTGCTGTCACTGCCGCTGGCCATACGGGCGTGAGCGGTGCCTCTTCCGTAGCTACCGTCGGCAACGAACAATTTTTGCCAAAGTCGGTTCTCAATTCTTGCCTGCCCTTTTCACCACAGTCCGTCCCGTCACGTACCCAGCGCCCTTCACTCATGCATGGCACCACCCACGGTTTTGGTTCTGCTATCTTTTCTGCGTGGCCGCTGCCATGACTACTGCAGGTTCATTCTTCAGGACGATGGTGTCTTGTACGAGAATCCCGTGCTGCAGATTGGTGTCAAGTCCGAGTTCACCGCCTCAGTTGGTACGGTCAACTTGCAATTTCCGAGCGGTTTTCGTTCACAATTTACTAGTTTCGCGGCTATACCTGGTGCTTAACCTTGGTTTGTTTTTGCACTCATTCGCGCATTGCTGTCTTGACACAGGCCGCTTGATTGTCTTCTATGGCAACCGGGGAGAGGCGCCCATGACCAACGTGTCGGCCCGTGCCTATTGCGTGGGCAACATGCAGGCGCTCAAGCTAGAGCTGGCGCCTCTGGAGTCCACGATCGCGGCTGGTGTTCAGATGCAGCAGCAGTTGCAAGTGGAGTGTGCTGGGTGCTTTACCGAACCTCCAGTGTTGGAGGTGACGCTCACGTACCAGAGCCGACCCGTTGTGCTCAGCCTCAAGCTCCCCATCTTCCTCAACAAGTTTATGAGTGGACTTCCCAGCCCGATGACGGCTGACACTTTCTTCCAAAAGTGGAACCAGTTGGGTGGCCCGCCCCGTGAAACACAGCAGATCCTCAAGGCCAAGGAGCCCGTCAACGCTGATGCAATGAAGAGCAAGGTTCGTTTGCTCTCCGGTCCCACTGACGAGCGTAGCATATCTGTTGGCGTTTTGCAGCACTCGTACCGACAGCTCATGCCAATTGTACTGGTGCGCGCAGATCTCGCAGTTCAAGCTTCAAACCTTGCCAGGCATTGACCCCAAACCGTTGAACTGTGTGGCCGCCGGCATCCTGCATGTCACGTCGGCGCAGGTGGGCGTGCTCCTGCGCGCTGAACCGAGCATGGATGCACAGATGTATCGCTTCACAATGCGGACTTCGAGTGAGGCTGTGACAGCGGCCCTGTCTGGCTTGCTCTTTGGTCAATTTTAATTTTCGCGCCACTTTTTGCTCAGCGCAAGACGGCTTGTCGCATCGCTACTTTGTGTATGCTGGCTGATGCCACACACCTCTGCCCGTCCCCTTGTCCATGCGTGATCTTCATCTTGCAGCATGAAATTTACGTCTTTTTTTGACTCACACATCTTGTTTGGTGTTTGTCAATCTGATACATGCATGGACCCGACATTGCACATCCCAGATGTATAATAAATTTTGTTTCTTTTCCTGCTATCGTGGGTCGTTTCAAAATGCAAACATTACAAGGAAGTATCCTCGTCTGGCTGCATGTTCAGGTAGCGGTCTGCTCCGGGCTCAAAGGCAGACGACTGCGATCGCCGGGATACACCCATGCTCTCGGGCTCCTCAAACACCGGTTGCATGCCACTGAGTCCGGCTGATGAGGGGGGAGCATCGTAGTGGGAGTACCCACCCATCGATGGGAGTCGCGAGGGGAGATGCGACGATGCGTTGTAATCCGGAGGAACCACCGACCTATCAGCACAGTACCCGAGTCGTGTGTGAGTGCCATGAGCCCCGCATCACACCCTCCAGTCTCCGGGTTGAAAGCTTACCGTTGAGAGCCTGCCTGATGAAGAGTGGACACGAGTGGGTTGCCGTGGTCAGCCATTGGCTGATGCACAGCATTGGCCATGGCAAGGGAGTGCAGCCATTCACGCCCATCGCTGTCGCGTTTGCGCAAGAGAATGGGCGCCGTGTCCTCGCCCATATCCACCACACTCTCATCTTGTGAATGGTTGAGCATGGGCTCGGGCGACATGGTGCCGGGCTAAAAATAGCAGTAATCGAGATGAGCGTTGCAAATAGAAGATAAGCGCCCGAGTAGGTGCGGTCGTCAGCACCTACCGTGCGATACAGGTGATATGACGTTGGTCCAGAGATGACGGAACGATCGGCAGCAAGTGAGTGATTGGCTACAGACAAGTCTGTGTCCACGTCCATAAACGCCTTGCGAAACTGAGGTCGAAAACGGTGCCCCGGCTCTGGCACCCGCTCCATGTCCATCTCAACACGCGACCAAAACGGCGTCAACTCCACAGATGCGGCAGCCGCTTTGCCTTTGCTGGGCGCGGTAGTCACAGCCATTCCACCTGCAGGCTTGGTGGTGGCATCATCCAACCTAGCACCACCCCACAATGCATGTCACCGTGAGCATGGCGGCCAGGGAACAAAACAGCACATCTTCTTAGCTATAACATGGTCAATATAACTGTGCTCGTCATCTAGGCAAAGTGCAAACATAAAAAACGTACTCGTATACGCGCGACGCAGGCCGCATGATGTACATGGCAACCAAAACAACAAGCAGAATAACCAAAACCACCGCAATGATGGCCGCCATTTCCGAACTGGCAAGCTGTACAAGTCACGGCACACGTGTGAGGCGCACGAGTACCTACGATACTTCCACTCAGTCGAAGGATTTTTCTTTTTTTAAAAAAAAAAAGAGGAAGAAAAGCAATCATTGAACGCCTCTCTGCTGACACCAACATACCCCGTCATCGCTGGAGCGGGATGCCAGGGTTTCGTTGTCGTTAGCAGTCGAAGCCGCGGGGGTGGTTGTGGTGGGTGGGCGACACTGACGATCTGACGTTGCAGTCAGTGGCACAACCTCCAACCAATCCTCGGCACAGACGGTCGCGTTGACACACTACGCATGCCAACAAGGGAAAGTATCAAAACATACGCCGTGTCTCAGTCGAGGCAATCAGCATGAGACAACACGGGCGCGTCAACGAGCAAACTCACCTGGCGATCAGACGTGACAGTGGGGCCGTTCAGCTCAAACTCAAACTCGGCGCACACGGACAGCGCAGCACACCGGCGGTCGGTTGAGGATGTTGGGTTGACTACGAGATACTCTTCAGCAAGATCGCAGGCGCTGCGATAATTCTGACACTCACGGTCCGTGGTGGCAGTTGCTGCTTGCGCCACAAACTGCTCGCCAAACACACAACTCGTCAAGGGTTGACACACGCGATTGCTGGATGTGCTGCACCCGACCGCTTCATACTCGGTAGCGCGACACGCAGTACAGGTCTGACACGTCGTGTCTGTATCCTCTTGGCATGCCATCAGCTGAAAGCTTCCCGCGCTACAGGTGGAGCAGGGTAGGCACTCATCGACATCTGCACGAAAGGTCTCGCCCAGCGTACAGCTGACAATTGCAGCACACTGTCGGTCTGACGAGACTGTGGGGGCCACCGCCTGGTACTCTGTGCGACCGTCGCACTGAGTGACTGGTTCACAGCTGACTGCGTTCTCCGTCGTGCTAAAAGACGCAAGCGCCACGCAAGCCACGCATACACGGTTTGAGGCCACGGTGGCTTCGACCAGCATAGCCTGGCCTGGCATGCAGGTTTGCGTCGTCTTGCATTGCGATAGGCCGGCTTCGTCGGCGTAATTGGTGCCCGGAGTGCAGGCGGCGCAAACACGATTAGATGACGTTGTGGGCGCCGCTGCCTCGTACGTGCCAATGCTGCACTCATCCCGAATTGGAAGACAGGTCGCCTGGCCAGCTTGGTTCTGAAATTGGGTCACACCATCGCACGCTGTGCAGACGGTATTGCGAATGTTGGACGCAGCCCCAGTGGTGCGCGTGCCTGCTGGGCAAGGAGTGATGGCCTTGCATTCTGACTGGTCGGCTAGGTCTTGGTAGAAATCAATGCCATCACATTCAGCGCATTGTCGCGAGGTGCTACTAGTTGGCTCTGCTGCCTCGTACGTTCCTCGAGGGCAAACGTAAGCTGCATCCAAACAGGCTGTTTGCCCAGCTGCATTCTGATACTGACCCTTGGGGCAGTCCACGCACGGCGTGCTTGGGTTGGAGTCGTCGTCGATGGTTCCAGGTGCACACGCACTACACACGCGGTTCTGGTTGTAGGTGGGTTCAGAAACAATCTCCTCGCCGATCACACACTCGGTGAGCGAGGCGCATGCTCGAGCCGAGGTCAACGTGCCGGGCCGTTGCTCGTATTCATCCTCGGTGCAAAAGGTTTGTTCTGCGCATTGCCGGTCGCTCGTCGCGGTAGCCACGACTGACTGGTATTGAAAAGTGGCGTTGCACTGCGTCAAACTCTCGCACTAAATTTCAGTCGGCAAGAATCGGTCAAGAAAACGGGTGAGGAGCCAGGTTGCAAACAGGTGAATTGCACAAGCGAAGCGCCACGCGCCAGAACACCACCAAAGAGGAGGACATACGATGCGGTTCGACGTTGGGGTAGGCAAGCGGGCTTGATATTGCATGAGGGGATCACAGACAGTGAGCGGGGCGCAAACGCGATTGTTGGTTGTGGACGCCGGCACCAGCTCGTATTGTTCGCCATTGCACACGGTAAGTGGGCGACATGATCGGTCCGTGGTAGCAGTTGGTGCCGAAGACTCGTACTCTGTCTCGTCGCACTCGTGGAGCGGCACGCAAATGAATGGAGCTACACCCACATCCACGACAAATGTGAAGGTAGTCGTAGTGGTGGTGGTGGTGGTGGTGGTAGTGGTGGTGGTAGTGGCGGTGGGAGTAGTCGTCTCTTGATCCTGGGTGCTCGTCTCAATAATGCGTTCGGACGTCGTCTCCTCGAGGTCTGCAGATGTTGAAGTCACTTCATCTTCAACCGCCACGGGTGCGGTGGTTGTCTCTTCCCAAAAAATCTCAGGTGCAGTGGTCGTTTCTTGCGTGGTGGTCGTCTCTGCCTCGTCAGTAATCACGAGCGCAGTGGTGGCTTCGGGTGTCGTCACGGCAAGCGAGCTGCATCCCGCCTCTGGATCATAGAAGCAGTCGGCAGCATTGCCGCATTCGATCGGACTCAAACCCGAACAAACCTCACGACGGCGACGCGCATCCAACATCGAATCAGGGATGTCATTCTCGTAAACGCAGGCTGTGCCTTCGCTGTTGACCTGGCAGTGAGGGTGGGCCAAGCACTCATCCTCGGTAGAAAATAACGCACAGGATGGAGCTTCGTATGCGTCAGCGCCACAGCTCAAGGCCGTGGTGGTAGGGATCGTTGTGGTCGGCGGGAGTGTCGTGGTTGGCGCCTCAGTGGTCGTTGGGAATGGCGTGGAGGTGAAAAAAACAAAGCGAATGTCATCACTATCATCATCAAACACGACGTGGCCACAACGGCCACTGCGACATTGGCCGGTCTGGCCTGCAAACCCGGTACAGGTGGTGCCATCAACCAGTATGGCTCCCTCGGTGCACTCGCCCATTTGACAGGTGGCTGCCTCGCGACACTCTGTCTCTACACTGTCGCAGCCGGTGCCGTCTGGCTTGTTGGCCTGCGTGGTGCAGGCCCCGTTTTCACAAAATGAGGCCAAAAGACACTCGCTCTCCGGGGCGCAGCTCAAACAGGGATCCTCCGTCGTTGTGGGAATCTTGCTGCAGACACGATTGCTTGTCAATGTCGGAGCAGCCTCTTCAAATTCGTCATCAGCGCACGCCGAGGGCTCCACGGGAAGGCATGCAGGGCTGTTGACTGACACGCTGTACGTCTGCCCAGCAATGCAGCTGCCACAGGCCCGATCTGAAGATGGCGTCCCAGTCACGGTCACAAATTGGCCAGCACTGCACTGAGCCATGGGGAGACAGAACGTGCCACCCCGATTGGCTTGAAAGCTGTCAGCAGCGCACGCCACACATGGCGTGGTCGCATCGTCATCGTCATCCACGGATCCCGATGCGCAGCGATACTCGGTGCAAAGCCCAACAGCTCTTTCGGGTAGATAGACACCAGGAAAGCATGTTTGGCACGGCGTGCCGGCATAGCTAAAGAAGCGTCAGCAACCAGAGTGGCAGCAGCGGCGTCAGAGGCCAGTTTCAAAGACGCTTGTAGCAAAATGCACAGGGTTGCATGCCACCAAGGGCGCGTCAACTCACCGATCCACGTCGATGGTACCAAAACAGTTGAAGTCATCGCAGCGGCCGGCGCTACCCGCGGGCACATAACGGCCCTCACCGCTACTCCGGAGTAGAGCAAACAAGACCATCATGAGGGGGGCAAAAACCCGCACCATCTTGCAGCTTGGTGCAAGCACAAAGCGTAAATGTGGGATAGGAGAAAGTACTAGACTCACCACGTCACACAAGGAGTCGCGGCATCCGCATCATGATCAATGTCCCCAGCCTGACACTGCAGACTCGTACAGAGCCCCGAAGAACCTTCAGGCGCGTATACACCCGTCGAACTAGTCACGGGAAGGAAAATGATGGCAAAAGTGACTGCTTCAAAAGAGGCTGCACGCACTATGCTCAGCCTGCCGAGGTGGTTGAATGAATGCTTACCAGCGAGCGCAGGGCGTGAGCGGATTGCTATCGTGATCGGAAAAGCCTGCAGGACAGCTGAGGCAGCGACGTCCCGAAGTAGGGGTGGCAGCAGCCAACTGGTACTGCCCTGCGGAGCAAGGGGAGTCGACAGCACACACGCTGCAGACATCCGGCCAGCCAACCGTGATGCAGAGAGTCAGACATGCATCAACACCCACACAGAGACAATGTGAGAAGCCATGTCAATCGATCGAGCTGGTTGACATCACGCCAGAGCACATGTCACAAGCAACTGTACCGATCGGTTGTGGCAGTTGGTGCTTGCGCCTGATATTCGAGCTCGGGTGTGGGCACCACGATGCTGGGGTCATCGGCTTGGCAAAGCCGACCCAAGTTTTCATCGGCCTCGCGAGTGCCGTTGGGGCACGACGCGTAGCAGCGACCGTTAAATAACCATTGTGTTGAAGTGCACTACATGGGGCGTGAAGACGCGTGAGGAACGCTTGGTACCTAATAAGCCCGGGAAATAGCCGTGACATACCTGAACACAAAAGGAAAGCTCTGTGCCGAGGATGCAAGCACGACATCCACTGGTGCAGCGGGTGAAATCGTTGCAATTGGTGCCATTGCAAAGAAACTGGCATTCGGTCAAGGACTGGCACGTGTTGCTCATGGTACGGTACTCATCGTGCGAGCACACAACACCTGGGGTGGTGGTGGTCGTTGTCGTCGTAAACGATGAGGTTGGGGGCGGGGCTGTGGTGCTACTCGAGACCGCTGAAGTGGGCGAGCCCGTTGTTGTCAAAGTGGTCGTGGTGACCGTCGTGGTAGGCTCGGTGGTGGTTGTGTACTGCCGGGCCGCACGGTCACGCACAGCTTGGGGAAATGTGGTGAGTGCTTCGCTGGGATAGAGACTGGCTGCGGCGATGGAACCCATCAGGTTGGAGGAGCTGCCGATGCGGGTGCCCAAGGAAAAGAGGCAAGTCTCGCTGGTTGCACCGCAATCGTCAACAGCGGCATTGATGCTGGCAATGTTCGCCACACCATCCACAATCAGGCTCGCAGTAGTTCCCTGCACGCGAAACAGCACCTCATGTAATTCACCATCGCGGAGATCAACGGAGAACGTGGCGGTGCGAATGGTGGTTGAGCCAGCAATGCGATACATGAGTGTGACAACACCAAACCCCGAGTAGAGAGCGTAATATCGTGAGCCGGCGGCATCAGTTTTAGCCATTATGTAGCCAGCGTTGTCGGCAGCCTGCAGCACAACGGCGGCAAAAGAGAATGACGTTGTCACGGCTTCCGAAAGCTCCACATAAGTACCCGAGGAGCCGTCCAGGTGCAGCAGGCCATTGGGCAGCAGGTTAACGCCGAGCTCAGTGGCGGTGGTAGTGGTGGTGGTGGTGGTGGTGGTTGGTGCCATCGTTGTGGTGACCGTTGATGTCGGCAGCATCGTACTCGTTGCTGAGGTCGCCGGGCCCGTGGTTGATGAGGCCACGCCTGTTGTCAGGGGAGTGGTACTGCCGCTCGTCGTGCGAGCGGCTTGCGTAGTTGTTTCAGGAGGAGAAACTTTTCCCGGGGCTGGGCCACACACTAGAAGGAGCACAAGAAAAGCAGACAACACGGCGAACAGCCACAACAATGCAGTGAGACCCACATCAAGAAGGCAGGGCACAGCTGCGATGCTAATATGTCCCGAGCACATGCCAATCTTCCCAGGGAGCAGACGATGTGCCACAGATGTGATGAGGGTTGGCTCACGTACCACGATCCGAGGTGGCTGTGGGAGCAGTCACCTCGATGAGGTTGCAGAGGTTACAATACTGCCAACGGGGAGAAGCGTTTTCGAGTACAAAACACCATGGCTGAAGGTCGCCGTCCTGGCAAAGAGGCAAAGAAGACAAGAACAGAAGAAGCAAAAGGAGTGTTGGTGAAGGCAAGTTATAAAGCAGGGCTCAAACGAAGAAGCGCTAGCCATGAAGGATAAAGTACGTACAGGATTGCGACAGTAGTTGTGGTCGCCGAGGCCCGTGTTGGGGTAGTTGGTGGGCGTGTAGGTACTGCTGCCTGGGACGTCACCGGAGCCCCAAGTGGCACATGTCAAGCCATGAAGACTCACATTGAGAAGGCCACGATAGTCACGACCGTTAGAGGTGCAGCCTGTTGGTTTCAGACCCACGCGTGCGGGTAAGATGCATGCGACACGGCCGAGTACGTGACACGATCCCTGCTCAGTGGGTATCGCATCGGGACGAGCCTTGAAACCAGGGCAACGGGCATGACAGAGCGATGATCGTACCATCGGCGTTGCACTGTGTCAGAGGCTGGCATGAGGCGGATGTCGTGCCAGAGGCAGGGCGGAGGTACTCATTGGAAGAGCAGCTCTGAGAGGCCGCGCTCAAGATGAGCAGCGCACACAAACCCAGGCGTAAAACGTCGGCAACCGCCATGGCGTCGGACGTGCTCAAGAAGGCGGTGCCTTTTGGAGCTCCCGCGACTCGCTTTCGGTGGTTTGGGGTTTGTCTTCTTCAGGGCGAGGGCCGACTTGTCTGTTATGAATCAATACACGGCACTTTGACACAGCAAATACATAGAAAAAAAAAAAGAAAAGAAAAGCACCCAAACAGAGGCAGGAAACAGACAGGTGGCGGGATCAAAGTCCAGGGGGCGCCTGTCCACAAGTGGATGGTGGGGTGACCAACGGGACGAGCCTGCTCGTAGCAAGGTCCCACGTCCAAAATGGTTATGACGCGGACTGCACGGCCAGGGAGCGTAAAGTGGTAAGTGGCGTCAAGCAGCGATCGACCATCTGCCGCTTGATGATGATGTGAATGATGGAAACCCGCCCACTTTTGAGCTTACTGGCAACAGCGTGAGAGAGCATGGTGGAACAAACGAACGCCTTTACAACCACGCAAGACAACCACAACAGCCCACCAGTTTTACATGCATGCATGCAATGTAAGGTGCCATTTACACTTGGTAGCATAGAAAGTCAGAGAAAGGGATATGTCAGCAAAAACAAGTCAAACGAACCGCTCTCTCTCTCTCTTTTTCTTCTTTTTTCGATCTTTTGTCCCGCTATCTGCTGGCTCAGTGACCGCTGCTGGAGGTACGTTCCGCTGGGGTGTGTGGCTGGGTCGCGGTACGGAAGATGAGTCAGAGTGAGAAGATTGCCTGAAGTGGATTGGCAGGAAAGAGTTGGAAGAGGTTTGAGGAAACAATGACCTGCGCGCATGGGAAGTGATGCGTGTGATCGTCCCGTGAATGGCCGCAGAGAACACGTGACACATCCCCACTCACGTCAGCGTGTGCACGGTCGATTTGGAGGCAAGGTGGAAGGATAACAGAGGTGCGATCATGCCGCCCAAGGCCGTGGCCAAGCGGCCCGTGGCGGGGACCCCGTGGCTCGTGGTCCAGCTCGATGATGGCACGCACTTCTTCTTCAACAAGGTGCGTGCGATACCCCCAGGCGTGGCTAGCGAGTTTCAAACAACTCGAGGGGCGAATGTTCGCTCGTCACAAATGCTCTGCTGGTGCGTCAGGTCAAGCGGCAGTCGGTCAAGGAGCTGCCAGCTGAACTACAGGGCGTGCCTTTGCCGCTCTTTGAGGGTGCGTGGACCGCAACCCTAAATGTGGACCGATGCTGCTTTGCTTGGTCCTGATTAATGCCACTTTTTGACACAGGGCCACCCGCGAAGCGAAGCAAAGGTGCTGCAGTGGCTACATTATCAGGGCCGGCTCCAACACCAAGCGGTGTGCCCACGTCTGACGTTCCTCTCATGACCGGCAGTGCTCCATCAACTATGGGCATGGGTGGGCCCCCACCAACTAGCATGGGCATGGGCGGCCCTCCACCAACTAGCGTGGGCATGGGTGGGCCCCCACCGACTAGCATGGGCATGGGCGGCCCTCCACCTGGAATGGGCGGCCCTCCACCTGGAATGGGCGGCCCTCCACCTGGAATGGGCGGCCCTCCACCGACTAGCATGGGCATGGGCGGCCCTCCACCTGGAATGGGCGGCCCTCCACCGACTAGCATGGGCATGGGCGGCCCTCCACCTGGAATGGGCGGCCCTCCACCGACTAGCATGGGCATGGGCGGCCCTCCACCTGGAATGGGCGGCCCTCCACCGACTAGCATGGGCATGGGTGGCCCCCCACCGACTAGCATGGGCATGGGTGGGCCCTCACCAACTACCATGGGCATGGGTGGCCCTCCACCGACTAGCATGGACATGGGTGGCCCTCCGCCAACTAGCATGGGCATGGGCATGGGCGGCCCTCCGCCAACTAGCATGGGCATGGGCATGGGCGGCCCTTCACCAAGTAGCATGGGCATGGGTGGCCCTCCGCCAACTAGCATGGGCATGGGCATGGGCGGCCCTCCGCCAACTAGCATGGGCATGGGCATGCGCGGCCCTCCAATTGGCATGGGCATGGGTGGCCCGCCACCTCCATACCCACCACCGAGTGGCATGATGGGTGCCCCACCTGCCCAGTTTCCTCCTCCACCCATGCCCCCGCCAGCCAACATGCCACCTTACGCCAATTTTCCTCCTCCACCAATGCCCCCACCACCAAACATGCCCCCCAACTCCAAGTTTGCACCCCCCACCAACATGCCCATGCCTCCACCCGCATTTGCCCCGCCTCCCATCGTTGATCCAGTCGCTCAGCGCGTGAACAGCGTCGAGCAGCGAAAAACTAAAGTCCGTGAGGTGCTCAAGGAATGGAACATCTCAGCGCTAGCCATTTGGGAGGACGTGTTGGCTCGCCTCGAGAAAGAGGACAAGGCATTCGACCTGACCAAGAAGCAACTGCGTTCCGCCTTTGACAAGTTCGTCGGCTCGCACGCTCGTGTTTGTACGCTCTCTGCCAGCGCTTGCATGGCCCTGCCACCCCAGGCTCACGTGGGTTCAAATCTTGATCCACAGATATCAAAAAGACGCGGCCAATGTCGGCCAGGAGCAAGGCCGCGCAGAAGCTCTGCAGCAAGTACGGCCCAGTTGCGGCACTTGCTGCAAAGCATGTGCAACCTCAGCGAGCCTACTTTAAATCTGAGACCTCACCTATACCTGATGACCTCATGCTCTGGATCTCAGGCGCGCTCGGCCTACGAACAGCTGCTCAAGGATGCCAAACTTGCCGCCACCTCAACGTGGCAGTCCTTTCAACTACGCTTTGCGCGCGACCCCCGCTTTACAGTGAGTGCGCTCTGCTACAACCTGCAAATGTGCTTTTCGCCCGCCCTTTCAAACTCCATGCTGCCTGCTAGAACACGCTCCTCAAACTCAAGGAGAAAGAAACGCGGTACCGCGAATTTATTGAGGCCCTCAAAGGTGAGTCGACGGTCCTAGGCGTTTCATTCAGCCAGTGCAGCGTTTGTCTTGACCGTGCGAATGTCCCTATTGCTCTTCGTGAACATTATGCTCACTCTTTGGGCTTTCCTTCAGAGTCCCAAAAGGCGTCTGAGAAAACAGCGCAAGCGCTGAGGTAAGTGTCATATCGGGTCAGGCGTCGTGCAGAGGCAGCTTAGCTGATCCAATCCTTCCTCTGCCGCACGCGGCGCGCGTGCTTTTGCGGTAGGCTTGAGTATTTCAAGCTCTTGCAAGAGCTCAAGGTGGCGCCGCATGATGCTTTTGGCGCTCTGCGTCGCGACGTGAACCGAGATGCACGTGGCCGGGCTCTTAGCGAAAGTGAGCAACGACGCTTTTTTCGAGACTACCAGGACATCCTGCGTCGTGACGGTGTCGTCGCCGTCACCGGTGAACAGTACGTTGGTGGCGACATTTTTTTTCTGATGGCTACAGCCCCCTGGTGCCCTTGAATGCTCTCTGACCATTGGTTGGGCATGGCGATGTTTCAGGCAACGTGAGCTTGCTGTGCGGCGTGAGCAGCATCGACAACAACGCGAGCGGGACCAGGCCAGTCGACGTTTGCACGAGTACGTATGGCCAGAAAGCTTTGCAATGGAAGGACTCCCCCCCCCCCCTCCTCTTAGGTAGCTGCCTGCCATAAAGGTCAGTTTCAAAGGCGCTCATGGCATGTTGTGAAACTGCAGGGGTGAAGCGTCCACAATCTTCCTGCTCTACCTCAAAGACCATGTCAAAGACCCTGAGGTTTGTTCTCTATTCCGCCGCGTTAATTTCGAAGATGCAGAACTTGTCACCGCGCTTTCACTTGCCTTGCTCGTGGTACACGTGCAGACTGCTTTTGAAGAGGTGCTGGCAAAAGTGCAGAAGGAACCCATTTGGTCTGAAATCCAAGGCCTCGGAGAAGAAGGTCTTGCCAACGTGTTTGGTGACCATGTTGGAGACGTATGTTTCAAGAAACGCGAGCATGGGCAAGACGTGTTTCGAGAATTCTCACTCTGGATTGCTTTCATGGTGCAGCTGGTTGAGCGCCGCCGCAAGGCTTTCCACGAATTGCTGGACACGTGCAAGGCTGTCGAGGTGGACGTTCCTTTTGCCGCCGTGCGCGATATTCTGGCTGAGGATCGGCGCTTTGCACGTTTCGGAATCGATGATGAGTATGTTGATCCGCCCCCTTCCTGCTACCCTTGACACGCAAGCCAGCATCACTATCGCGCACGCATGGAAATCAACAAATGACGGATGCACACCACTCCTGCACTGCCCTCTCCCTTTTGTCAGGCAACGTGAAGATGAATACGAACACTATATGGCCGACCGTAAGGAGGCTGCAGTCCTCAACTTCCAGGAGCTGCTGGCCGAGTCCCGGTACGGCATGCACGCTGTCGTTGCTCGTCAATGGCCACGATCGGTCTGCTCTGCCTGACGGATACCCGCTGGCCGATTGCATTAGGGTGATCAACCACAAGTCAATGGACCTCATTCAAGAAGGTGGCTTCGAGTGTTCTCACATGAAGGAGATTTTGAACGTGTTGCAGCAAGACAGGCGTTATGACAATTTGAGTTTTGCTCCCGAAGAGCGTGTCGAGCTCTTGCTCGCTTTTATGCGTAGGCTCAAAGACCGTGGCTCGCCACCCGCCGTGACGTCTTCATTCAAGGATGATCGCCTGCAGCTCGTGCGGGAGCTCAACGAGCAAGACCCCGAGCCTGAAGCTGCCGGCTCGTCCTAACAGGCGATAGAAACATGACCTGAGTTTGAAAGAAATAAAATTTAAGTTTGCCCCAAGCAAGCAAGCAAGCTTCTGTTTCTCTGTTTCTCTCAGCGAGTCAGTCTCTGAAGGGCTGGGTCCTCTATCAAGGGCTGACGCGCCATGGACAACATAACCTACGCACTCTGAGTGCAGCCAGAGTCGGCTGGGCAGCTGAGCTTCGGATGGCGACAGTGTGAATCAGAGAGAAAGGCTCGAGAAACGACCCTGTTTTTGGTGTCAAGTTTAAACCACAACGTCAGTCATGTTCCGGCGGACCAGTCAGTTGTTGCTGTGGAAAAGCATGCCCTCTTCTTTCTTGGACACATCAGAGCATGTGTTGGGAAAAAAACGGATGAATTTGTACAGGTCTATCAATTGTGTGGATGACATTCGAGCATAAGTGTGCGGCTCGCAGGCAAGGCGGTGCCAAAGACTCAAGTGCTACGGAAGAAATGAGCTACGGGGTCGTCGTTGCGATACCAGGCAATGCCATCTCCAAGATAGCTGGCACTGAGGATGTCGATGTCCCCGTTGTTGTCCAGATCTGCAGCAAACACCGAGTATGCTCCGTTGGCAGCCTCCGTGATGATCAATTGGTCTGAGAAGGTTCCATTGCCTTTGTTGCGGTACCAGGCAATTTTGTCATCATAGTAGCTGGCGCTGAGGACGTCAAGATGGCCATCGTTGTCCAGATCTGCCGCGTATACGGAGTATGCCATATCTGCAGCATCGCTGATGACAAGTTGTTCTGAGAAGGTGCCGTTGCCGTTATTACGACACCATGCAATCTTGTTGTCAAGATAACTCGCGCTGAGGACATCCAGGTGGCCGTCCCCGTCCAGATCAGCGGCATACACTGACACGGGACCGTCAGCACTCGTGGTAATCACAATTTGATTGGTAAAGGTGCCGTTGCCATTGTTGCGGTACCATGCAACCTTATCATCACCCGGACTGGCGCTGAGGACGTCAGCGAAGCCGTCATTGTTCAAGTCGGCCGCATATACCGATAGAGCTTCCACGGCATCTGTACTGATGATGATCTGAGCTGAGAAGGTGCTATTGCCGTTGTTACGGTACCACGCAATCTTGTCGTCATCCATGCTGGCACTGACAACATCAGTGTAGCCATCGTTGTTAAAGTCCGTGGCAAACACTGACCGTCCTGCCTTAACGTCGGTTGTGATGATCATTGGTTCGGGGGAGAAGGCGCCGTTGCCGGTATTGAGATACCACGCAATCATATCGTTATGCCAAACACTGACAATATCGAGTTGACCATCGCCGCTGAGATCCGCAGGTGTTGCATACCACACTGATTGGGAGGTGTTGGTAATGACAATCTGATCGGAGAAGGAACCGTCGCCGTTGTTGCGGTACCATGAAATCTGGTGCTGAAGATAATTCGTGCTAAGGACGTCTAGAAACCCATCCCCATCCAGGTCGGCGGCACAGGCCGACCGTGAACCGTCCATGGTCGCGCTGATGGCGTGCTGCTCAAATTGCGGCGGATTCAGCTCCCGCTGAAGCTCGATGAGGGCATCGAGGCTGCTTGAGGCAGCGCTGAATGCCATGGCCAGCGCCTGGACGTCGACGCCATTCACCACCACACGGTTGGTGGCATTGATGAAAAGTGTTCCATTCTCATCAAAAGCAAGCGATGGCTCCTCGACACCCGCACCGACGTCACACGCCACCAAAACCAAAACCAGGCCCACCCCCAAGCAGAAACCTGCCCAGGATCTCCGGAGCCCCATGATCGATCACACGCCAAATGGGTTACGAGAACAAAGGAGAGAGAGAGAGAGAGAGAGAGAGAGAGAGAGAGAGAGAGAGAGAGAGAGAGAGAGAGAGAGAGAGATTTAGAGAGAGAGAGAGAGAGAGAGAGAGAGAGATTTAGAGAGAGAGAGAGAGATTTAGAGAGAGAGAGATTTAGAGAGAGAGAGAGAGAGAGATTTAGAGTGAGAGAGAGAGAGAGAGAGTGAGAGAGAGAGAGAGAGATTTAGAGTGAGAGAGAGAGAGAGAGAGAGAGATTTAGAGAGAGAGAGAGAGATTTAGAGAGAGAGAGAGAGAGAGAGAGAGATTTAGAGAGAGAGAGAGAGAGAGAGACGGGCAGGCAAGAACAAAAGACACGGAGAAGCAATAAAATTACCACATGTAGTAGCAAAGGAAAATGAAGGAAACAAGGAGGCGACTCCCTCAGAATCCTATGGGCGAGACGCAACCCAAAACCATGTCGTTGTAATGAGATAAAAAGACCGTCTAATTGGCTTTGCCGATGCTCGCGTGTGTGCGCGCTCTTGAAGCGAGCGGACGACGGCGCTTGAAAGGAAGAAACGTGGAACATGAAGGGGCCGGCTATGGCGTTCAGACGAGGAAACAAGTGGGACATGTTGATGATTCAGCCTGCAGATCTTGATAGGAGCTTGCCGCTGGCACACAGGCGGGTCGCTTTTCTATCAAACGCTGTCACATCCGTGGGCACCGGGCCCTTTGTAGTAAAACGTGCAAGGGCCTTTGGTCAAAGAGGCACGCGTGTAGCTGCACAGCACAAGGCCACAAGGTCTGCAGCTTTGAACGGTATTACGATTGAATGTTCGATTAAGGGGGGATATATAATGTTACACAACTTGATGTGAAGCAGGAAGAACAAGGTCACAGGCAAGGGGCATCGGTGTGCTTGTGTGCGCTTGTGTGCGGCATGTGCGAAAGTGTGGGAGAGAACCTTGGTTGGTGATTTAGATGGGGCACACGAATCGACAAGACAAAGGGAGCTGGTGTGATGAAAGCCGCATTCGATTTGCCGACTGCCTGAGCGTGAGCTCATTCGGTTTGTCGTGAGCGGAACTTTGCCATGGGGTTATCGTTGCGGTACCACGCAATTTTGTCGTCTCTACTGCTGGCACTGAGGACGTCAATGCTGCCGTCATTGTCCAAATCCGCCGCATAGACTGAACTGGCACCAGCGGCAGCGGTGGAAATGACATTCTCACTCGAGAAGGTTCCGTCGCCATTGTTGCGGTACCAGGCAACCTTGTTATCAAGCTCGCTCGTGCCCAGGACGTCAAGACGGCCATCGTTGTCCAAGTCTACAGCATAGAGCGAGCTGGGATTGCTGGCGGTGGTGGTGATGACGATGGGGCCGGTAAAAGTACCATTGCCTTGGTTGCGATACCACACAACTCTGTCATCGCCCACGCTGGCACCGAGAACATCGAGGTGGCCATCGCCATCCAGGTCAGCCGCGTGAGCAGTGACCGCGTCGTCGGCTTCCGTCGTGATGGCAAGCTCACCAGAGAAGGTGCCATTGCCATCGTTGCGGTACCACGCCAATTTGTTGTCACCGCTGCTTGCGCTGAGAACGTCGAGGTGGCCGTCCCCGTCCAAGTCAGCTGCATACACTGACGAAGCCCCCAGGGCGTTGAGCGTGATGATCCTCTGATCGGAGAAGCTGCCCTCGCCGTTATTGGGGTACCATGCAACCTTATTGTCATCACGACTGGCGCTGAGAACATCGAGACGGCCGTCATTGTTCAGATCGGCTGCATATACCATGCTGGTAAAATCGACAGCATCGGAGATGAGCATCTCGTTCATGAAGGTACCGTTGCCGTTGTTGCGCCACCACACAACGTTGTTGTCGTTGATGCTGCCACTCAAAACATCAAGGCTACCATCGTTGTCCAGGTCCGCGGCGTACACCGACTGCGTCCGGCTCATGATCGTGGAGATGCTGATTGGGTTGGAAAAGGTGCCATCCGCATGGTTGCGGTACCACTCAACCTTGCCCCGAACAGTCGCGCTGAGAATGTCGAGATAACCATCGTTGTTCAAATCAGCCGCAAACACTGAGCTCGCAAATTGGGCCAACGTGGTGACGACATGCGTGCTGAATCGCGGGGGATGCAGCGCATACTGAAGGTCTACACAAGACGCCATCCGCGCCGAGAAGGATTCAAACGCCGACGAAAGCTGATGCACGTCAATCCCATTCACGAGGACGCGGTTGGGCGCATCAATAAAAAGCGTGCCGTCATCACCGACGGCCAGCGTCGACTCCTCCACATGGCTCGCCAGCAAACAGGCAACCAAAGCGCTGCACGTGACGAGCCAGGGCCCGGCGCGGTGAGAGGTCATCATGCTGTGAGTGTGTGTCGATTCTTTTCATGTTTGTCGAAAAAATGAAAAACACACACACAAAAAAAAAAAAAAAAAAAAATTTCAAATTGTCAATCTTATGAATGATGCACGCACGACTGAACGTTGTGTCTCTCTCACTCGACTGCGAGCCGGGCTGAGTAGTTGGTGACTGCCTGATTTGTGGATGGTCATCCTTTGATGAGTCGCCCTTTGTTCGAAACAAACCTCGAGATTGCGAAAGCATGGGGCAACGCTGGATAATAGATTTAGACATGGCTCACGCCGTTACCCAAGCGCCTCTACTGGCGCAGTGCGTCCAGCAGTTGATCACACATCTCGCTGTCAATATCACTCGAGTCTGGACAAGCTGTCATCAGGGTTTCCAGTAGCAAAACAATCCGCTCCGAGCTCACGGGTAGCACCTGGGCATCTCCTATTTCCTTGCTGGCGCCCGATTGGACTCGATTTATAATGTCCACGGGCAGCTGCGACAGAATCCGCCCAGCTACCTCTCCGTGGTCCTGCAAGAGGTGCCATAGTCGATACAGCGCCAGGCGCCACACATCGGCAGCCAGTACCTCGGGCCTGGAAGTCCCCAACCAGGCACCAATGGCGGCCGTGTCCGCATCCACATCCTCCGGACTCGCGCCAGCTCGTTGCAAGCGATTCAAGGCCAAACGTTGCGCCACAAAATCGCGATGCTCCTCCAGGGAGACACAACAGTAAAACCGGTCCATAATGGCTTCAAGAAGAGGCAACAGATCTGCCACACGTGGGTGATCCAGGGTCATGGCGGCGGCGCGCATAAACCAGCTTCGACGCGAATCCAGCACACCCTGCGAGAGTTGGGCAGGCACTGGATCTACCACGGCTACTGGAGCGAACAAAAACTCGCGCTGGGCCTCGGGGAAGAGTGTGAGAATGCGCAAGTTCTTCATTCCGAGCGCCATGACCAAAGCAGTGACCTGGGCCAACTGCCGATGCAGCTGCACCTTGTCTAGCACGGGCAGGCTCGTTGTTTGAAGTGCGTTCATATATCGTGGTTCTCGCGTCGACGCATCAAACTCTGCCAAGGACGGCAGTTGCAAGGCACTGGCCGCCACCAGCGCTGCGGGATCAGAGGCTTCGCCGTCGAGAGCAAGGCAATGCCTCTCCCACTGCGCGGTGCATTCAGCAACGGCCAAGAGCGCCTCAATGAGCTGGTCCAGCGAGACACCAAAGGTGCGCTCCACGTGCCGACTGGGTAAGGCCTTGCCCGCACGCTCGTTTTCCTCCACCACCCGTGCCAAGAATGCCTTGAGCCCTTGACCCCAGGCCCACGTGCAAAGACGAACACCCGAACCAGCATGATGCAAAGCCAGGGCCGAAATTGCACGGCGAAGGTCGCTGCTTGCTTTCGGATGGGTTTGCCAATGTTGCACGAGGTGGAAGGCCACAAACGCACGATGATCATCCGCATCCGCCGCCAGGAGAGGCGCAAATGCCAACGTCAACAGCTCTTGCTCGGGGCAGTTGAGTCGCAAGAGCTCGCCGAGCATATGCAGGGGCTTGAGTCTTGCCTGTTGAATGCTGCACGCCAGCCCTGTCTCCTCCTCGCCAGCTGCCGTTTCAGCGAGCACGTTGGTGGCACATGCTGCCGTGGCCAGCACAATGGCCTGGAGATGACGAGCCAGAAAGTCATCAATCGAGTCTTCGCCGACAGCCTCGGTCGCTTCCCCAGAGGTGGTCTATGGTTGAAAGCAGGATGCAGAGCAATCACGTTAAACGCGGCCAAAGCGCGCCTGTCCGCTTGATGCAGCAAGTTCATACCATAGAGCGGAAGGAGCTCTGATGCAGCAAAAACCAAACAGCGCAATACAACGGATTGCTGGCTTGCAGCAAGGCATCTGGTACAACAATCGGCTCGTTGATAGATACCTTGCCAGCCTTCCGAACTGCCACACATGAGCGCAATCGAGACGCATAGGAAAATGAAACCCGGACACGAAAGAGGGTGTAAAGCACACACACTCTTATATCGCGAACATCAACTCAGTCCTGGCGAGATCAAGACAAACGCCACCAAAACCAAACACGCACCCGCAACGCGTGGGTCCTGCTCTTGCAAAATACGCTGCAGCTCGGGCACAAAGTTACGAAGCGGCGAGAACCAAGCAGGGGCCAACCAGGTTGTGGGGGGCGAACTCAGGAACAGCGACATGAAACAATCAAGAATGTCGCTGGCAGCCAGACGCAACTCGCAAAGACGACCTGCCACGGTGGCAGCCGAGCGCAAGTCTTGGAAGAGGGCACCGAAAAGCAGACGCGCTACCCATAAGCGCTCCGTGTCGCCCAGGTTTGAACGCAGTCGTGTAACGGGCGGCGCCGCACTCCCGTCTGCGTTTACCCCACTGGCCACCAGCTCTGGCTGGCAGCAAGACATGAAAAAGGCAGCGTCACATGCAGCCTCGGGCTGCCAATTCCGAGCGATTGAAGCAGCATGAGCTGACGTAAGCAAGGCGGTCAGTGCCGAAGAGTCGGCTGCCATTTGCAGTGTAGTAGCAAAAGGTTTGAGGGCGTCGGAGGCGCTGGCGACGAGTCGTTGATAGTCTGGTGCCTGCTTTGAGCTAGCCGGGGTCTCAACACCATCTTCATCAGCATCATCCTCCTCGCCGTCATCCCAGTCCGTTGGTGCCATCTCAATCAATGCCTGCCAAACGCCGGGACGTGGGCACTTGAGAAACTGAACGCACGTCCCGTGTTTCTCTTTGGCCATGGTTACGCAGCATCCACATCCGACCAACCTCAAGAGCCGTTGTGCGACTGACGAGCAGTGATGCCCATGCATGACCCTTGCTGGCGGCAGCAGAGCCCGGCTCGGCCACGTCTTGCAGCTGCTGCTGCAATTGCTCCATGAGCGGAAGCGGCAAAAACGGCTCGTGCAAAGCCTCAATCAGGGCCTGCACACGGAGCTCAGCTTCGAGCGCTTGACTGCGCTCCAGCACGGCCAAGCAGGCGGCCTCGGCATCCTGCGCGTTGTTTGCTTGCCGTAGCAATTCCAATGCAGCTTGAAAATGCTGCAGGTTGACCTGCGCAGCCCGCTGGGCCGTCATCTCCGTGCTTCTCAAATCAACGCGCATTCAAGCGCGAGCACGTAAGAGTGGGCACGCTACAAGCAAGATGCGATCGTCACTCATTGACGCACCTGAGAGAGGCATCAAAAGCAGCCGCCAGCTTGAAAATGTGACCACTGCTGTCGAGAACCCAGGTCTGGCGCGGTGGTATCTGCCCTGCGCGAGGCGCGGGTTCGGTATGCAAGAGCTGCGAACCAACGCCAATGTTAAAGGCTGCAGCACGGTCTCCAAATGGCACATTCCACAGCTCCACTTGTCCGCGCCGGGGGGCATAGATGATCAGAAACATGGCACGGAGAGCCATAGGCCCCGCACGTTCTTTCATGGGCTCGGATACGTGCCACGCCACCTCGGCATCGCGATAACCCTTCCACATGCGCACGGCTGACAGCGTGGCGACGTCCAACAGGAAGACACGACCAAGGTTGTCGGCTGCAGCCAGCAGGCGTTGATCTGGACTCTACCCAGCACAAGCCGTGGCACCAGAGAGCCCATGATGAAGAGCCAAAGCACGCCACAAAGTTGGTCCAGCAGTCAAGCCGACTGAGACGACTGGAGGAAGGCGCATGCAAACACGAGCCAAGCCTACCAAACTCAAGCGCAGAAACTCGCGCTTGGCATCGCTGAGCGAGCTGGCCATGGGTAATGGAGTGGCAGGTTCGCGCGCAGAAGGTGGCACTTCGCTGGGGTCTATCCCAAGTTGCATGCGGCACCCAGTCCCCACAGTCGATGAGCGGTGAGATACTCGTTGCCCATAACTCAGTCTGGACAGGGCAAATCCGAGAGCTAAACGCACGCACCAGAGCTCTCTGCGGGTGCCTTGCTCTGTGACTTGGCTGCTGTTGAGGAGCCACCCCAGAAGCTATTGACCATTGAGAACATAGCCTTGCTAAACTGGGTAGCCATACTGTATGTGACAATGACATCGTCACCCGGACGGGGGCGGGCCGTGAGGTGTCATTCAGGGGAAGCACCAGCAGCACGAGCGAGGCCCAACGGGGCACGAACGAAGTGGCAAGGGCAGCGACGGTTGAGAAGGGCCGGTCCACACCCAGCGTGGTGTACTTGGCAAGCATGGGGCTGGCACCGGCCACAATATATGCGCACATCTCCTGATGCTCGGCATGTCGCGCCGCATAAAGCATGAGGTGGTCATAATCGCTGGCCAAGGAAGGGCCTGTGTGTCATCCCGGCCGGAAAATGAGGGCAGGACGCAAGACCAGCACCGATGTACCGAAGCATGGGCATGAAGCAGGAGGCAAAGGCCGGGCAACGGTTGTGTCTCACCACAGCAAGCAATGTCACGGCAGTTATCCTGGTCCTCGAGACCGTATTTCTTAACCTCAAGGGTGGCCTCGCTCTCCGAGTCCTGGTGAATCCGACCCAGTACCGTCTAATGGCAGAGGCATTCAAATTCAACCGTGCGGGATGGCACAGACATGATCGTGCCTCTGAAACTCTACAAAAAAAAAAGCCGGCGCAGATCTGCGAGACCATGTCAGGACCTACCCTTGCAAGACTCAGGCCATCAATAATGACCACAGCATCCGGGTAGAGCAGCTAACACGCATCATTAAAGATGAGAAGTGTCAGCCGGGCAGCATGACTAGCGCGACAGAGAGCAGCGTGCGGCGTGTTGAACTCTGGCCGTGCAATACCAACCGCCAAGTCGTTGAGGGGGCCTTTGCCCGGTTGTTGGGTGATGCGCACGACAGGTGCATCGTGAAGCATTTGACAGAGGATGCGCTCGCCGTTGTGGCGCAGTACATGGAGATACCCGCGATTGGTACCGGCCAAAATGAGCTGCTCTGGCTGCCCAGTGCTACGGTATGCATCAAAGCAATGTCCGCAGCGAAAACACAAAAGGTGCACAAGCAAATGAGGGCCTGAGGGTCCAAGTTGGAGCACCGAGAGATGCACAAGAAGGGGGGCTGACCCGCTTGGGTCTGAGAGACTCACGCATTGAGCGAAATGCTGATGGAGCTGAGGGCAACTATGGAAGGCTGTTGCAGCTTTTGACGCGGACGGCGCTCGGCAATACGATCCAGAGGGTTATCACGAATTGGGGCCGGAGCAGCGATGCTGTAGCGTGCGCAAATGTTCCAGTCGTGCTCAGGACCTGATGGCAGGTTCATCGCAAGAAAAGAATGCCCAAAGAAAGTCATCAAGGCCAGAATGTTTTGACAAAGTCTGCGATACCCACACCCACGTACCGCTGAGCAAGACGATGCGTTGCTGGCGAGCAATGGCCATCAGGCCTCCATCCGCATTGAGCTGTGGCAGCAAGACAAGAGCCCACGGCGTGAGTACGGCTGGCGTCCAGGTGAGTGTAGATGGTGCAAAGCAAGTCAGTGAACGAACCGTGATGAGGCAAGTTGATAAGAACAGCAGCTCTCGTTGCTCTGCCGTCAGTTTCTGCCACATCCAGACCCGTGTGCACACATCAATATCCAGGTGGTGCGCAGGCAGTTTGGCCAGATACGAATGGATGCGGCGCGGCCTTACCTCGAGAGACGTCCAGTTGTTTGGAACGGGAAAAACTTCGCCATCTGGTATTTCCAGCGCAGCGCGAATCTATTCGAGTGCGGAAGATCAATCCCAGAGCCGATGGAAACAGCGACCGCGCGGGCCATGGCTGAAGGGGCTCAAGCAGCTCAAGCAACACCCACGATGAATGGGCAACAGCACGAGACCTGACCTTCTGAGCCCCCGCCAAGCGATGAAACGGAGTCAGACGGACCCCCATGGTCCCTTCCACCCCCGCTTCCGCCGCCATCCTGGTCCTCCTGTGGATCTGGCGCGTCAAGTGTCAGTGACCCCCCCTCGCCAAGGTCAACCACACACATCCACCACAAACAACGATGAAACAGTGCAAAAACGACACACACACACACACACACACACACACACACACACACACACACACACACACACACTTTTTTTGGATGACGCTGCACAATTTTTTTTTTACTGTTCAAACTCATTCAAACACCAGATAAGAACTGCGACGACGGCGACGCGATTGGCCCCCTGGGAGCCCATCTATCGGCATTGATCGGCGTGCGGTAGGTCCTGTCAAAAGTCGGGAAGGTGGATGGATGTGGGGAGGGGAGTGAGACGCTGGGGGAAGCGAGTTGCCGGATTCGCACCCTCAGAACTCAACCGCCGCTGCTGCTGCTGCTTGCGCCAGTTTGTAGCTTGGCCAGCTGTCTCCCCTTATCTGGGCGGCCCACGTCAGGCACGTACCCAGAGGTGCATATCACACGTCGTCATGGACGTGCGCCAGCGCAACACGGGCGACCGTGAGCTGTTGCGGCGGCTCGATGAGACTGATACACAGGTTTTTAGTGACGAGGAACAGGAGCAAATCATTGCTGAGATTGCCACACAGCAGCAACGCCTCATCAAGCCCCTGCGCAAGGCCCTATCCGTCCTTGCTACAATCGGCGTGCTTCTCTATAGTCTGCTCGCGCTTGTGCAGGTTGGTGCACGTCCGCTATCAGCTCGTTTTGTTACCCTGTTGGCTGGTCCATTAAAAATGATCTTGCTCACCGCCCCCCCATTTGCCGTGCCACCACCAACACGTGCGCCCATAGTTTGTGGAAACTGATGTGTTGCACACGACCTTCTTGCATTTGGAAATCCCGGGAATCCCACCCAATGCTATCGGTTAGCGCAGCGTTGGTAGCCGGCATCAGTCATTTAGAGTGCTCTTGTATTTTATCAATTGCCGATACCGCCTCACCAGAGCTTCAATGGTAGGCGTTGGCTTTGTCCTCGCAGCCATTGGCTGCATTCCAACATGGATCGCAGGGCTTCGCAGTACCGTCGAGCCACAACCAGTGTGTCCCTTTTGACCGTGGCCAAGCCTCGCTATGATATTTCCTCCTGGGCTGACTACCGTTTTACCTCACACTCATCCAACGTTTGATTAAATGCATGCTGACTTTAGCACCTCTTGCCCTGGCTGTGGCTGGTGCTCGTCATTGCCGCTGGACCTTGCCTGATGTCACTAGACACGACGGCCCGCTCCTACTTTCTTCAACGTTGGTGGCTGCTGTGGATTCCCTTGGGCGCGCCAGCCCTAGTATCGACGTCGCTGCACCTCGAGTTTAGTGTGGTGCAGGACCGCGCCGAGCTCGAAGAGCTCAAGCGCTGCAAGTACAATGCCAAGTCGGCTTAGGAAACCCTGCTCCCTTTGGCAACCACCCACTCGTGGTTCCACCCAATGCCGTGTGGTCACAGCAAGCTTACAATTGTAAATCTATTCTGACATGGATCAATCACAGAACCTAAAACAAGAAAGGAAAGGGGAAAGGAAAGGGGGCAACACCACGACATGGAACGAAAAGGAGACGACGATGGGTATATCGGAGCAGGCCCCATCGCCAACGCCAAGCACTCGGGCTATTCGAGCCGATTATCGCGCTGTCTTGTGGCGGAAGGCTGCATTGAGGCCAAGACTGACGGCTCCCGCCTGCAAAGCATCCCAAGAAGGGTGAATCGAGCGACCAAGCTGACGGCCAGAAGCAGCTCACAAAGCAAGCCACACATACCAGTGCAATGCCAGTGGCATCGGCCACTGAAGTAATACCCATGGCAAACTCTTTGTCATTGGGCGCTGTGTTCTTGGAAATGAGATAAAAGGCGTTGACTATGGCCCGGGACGTGCATGAGATATCGCAATGTTCGCTCCCGAGTCTCGCTGAGGGGCAGGGTGACAGACAGTCTGGTCCTACCGTATGCCAGGCCACCCAAGAGGCCTTCGTAAAAGATCCAGACACAGAAAATCCATATGGATGGCACGAGCTGCAACTCCGTGTCGATGGCTAGGAGGACAAAGTTGACGCACTGCAGCGCCGTGGGGATCCACAGACGCTTCACGGGGAAGAATTGCACGGAGCTGCGCGAAAGAAATACGCCAATCTGGTATAGGGTCTGGTATAGACGATATTGGGCCGCCTTGGAGAAGACGTGGTGGTCTTTGAAAAGCATGTGCTCGTACAAACCCTGATTGATGCAGTATTCGGCAAAGTACACCAGGAACAGCGGAACCATGTAGCGAGGCAAGAGTTGCCGGAAAATGCGCCACTATTGTCGATCCACAGGAAATGCGGTGAAGGAGGGAGCACACTACTGATCTGGCACCACACTGAGGACTGGAGTATCGGGATGCCTGAGTCTCGGGCCGGACAGACCTTGTCGCTATTGGACAGTTGACTGCGCATGGAAGGGCGCTGCTTGCCCTCTGGGCGTTTGGATAGGAGCAAGTAGTAAGCGGCGAGCATAAGGGCCGGCACAAACGTCATTGAAAGACACGCGTCGGCGGGGGACATGAGCGCCGTCAATCCCAAGTCTACATCACGACCCATACGGCATGAGCAGGCGAGTTGGCCCGTAACAGGCATTGAAAAGAGGGTGGACGAGCATGCGATCGAAAGAAAGCGCGGTTCGTACATGATGCGGCGCCGATTGCGCCGGCAGCACCCGTGCCAGAGGACCAGGCGGAAATGACACGCTGTCAGCAAGAGGGTTGTGTTGGGTTGAGGGCAGAGGCGAGGCGGGATCAACAAACACTTTGAACAACTGGTGGGTGCGGCCCAGGCAAACCTTGTTGAACATGGAGCTAAAGGCCAAAATTGTGACCTCGCCCAGACCGGAGGAAATGCTGGCACAAATGACGCCAAGCAAGCTAATTTCGACCGATTTGGCAAAGGCGACCTACGCCCGAGAGAGCGCGCGTCGTGAGCGTTGGGCCAGCCAGGACGTCAAAGACCGGACAGCAAGGAATGGGCTACAAACCAGAAGAAAGGCGGCAAGAGCAAAGAGAATGGCAATATTGACACGGAGCGAGTAGGGCAGGGGGGCAAGCAATAACGGGGCGATTGGTTTGATAATGAGGGTCGGGATGATGTCGCACAACAGCACCACGCCCGTGCCCAGATTGGGATCAAACTTGCTGAGCATGTCGTTTGCACCGCTCAACATGATCACGTAGCCTGGGGAAGGTTTTGAGGAAAGAGGAGGTCAGCAAGCGCAGGTTCATCAGGTAGGTGAGCGCAGGATCGAGTACGATGGCTCGACACCGGCATGAAAGGACAAACCAAAGTTGTTGCAGAGACCGAGGATCCAAAAGGCCGCCATGTCACGCTTGTCATCAGCGGTCAGCGGCAAGCTCTTGGCTTCGTCATCCTCGTCGTCGGTGGGACCGTAGCTTGCCTCGCCGTCCTGCACGCTCAGCAGGCGCTCCTGGGCGGCGACATCGTCATCCAAGTTGTGGGCAAGACTGGCCATCTCCAAGGCATCAATGTCCACCTCGCGCGAGTCCACGTCGGCCCAACCTTTCTTGTATGGACCCGCACCGAGCTCCTGCGCCCGGCTCGACTCGAGGTAAACGCCGGTACCGCCAAAGGCCGTCTCGCTCACCGAGCGCGTGCTCCAGCCGTCACTCGCACCACCACCCCCAACCGCAACCCCCAAACTCGACCCTGCCGCCGTCACCCGCCGTGCCATCCAAACACCAGGGACCCCAGCCGTCTTGACCTCTCTGAACCAGGTGCTGCTCCTTTAAAAAAAAAAAATGGCGCAGACAGCCAGAGCCAGAGCCAGAGCCAGGCAGACGGAGCGAAACAGAGACACAGAGAGAGAGCGGAAAATATTCTGGGAGATACACAGAGAAACACATGCAGACCCAGAGATCGAGACTGACCCACGGCAACACAGAGAGAAGAAGAGGGACCTGATCGGGATGTTCACGTTGAATTTTTTGTCTTTGGTTGTTCTTCTTTGAGTTTAGCATAATAAACTCCTTCCCTCTAAATTGTAAAGATTTTCGAACCACCGTTTTTTTTCTCTCTCTCTCTCTCTCTCTCTCTCTCTCTCTCTCTCTCTCTCTCTCTCTCTCTCTCTCTCTCTCTCTCTCTCTCTCTCTCTCTCTCTCTCTCTCTCNCTCTCTCT